GTCCTGAGCAAACACCTCATGAGGTAATTGATCCCAATTTTGCTGTCATGTTTCTTGGTCAGAAGATAAAATCATAATTTGATATAATCTTTTGATATGTACTTATGCAGTTTGATATGGAAAATGGAGATGAAATCGAAGCAATAGATGGTTGGGTGTTGAGATGATTGGATTCGTAACAAATATTGTTACAATGACATGTTATGCTTTTTTTACTTTTTAAAAATTTTATATAGTTATGAATCTTTATGAATCTTAGTTAATTTATTTCTATGAAACGCAAGTTAATTTTCTTCTTTAATGTAATTTTTTTCTTATTGTGTATTTATATTAGTTCTGATAGGGTTATAAGTTCTCTATGTCTTCGATTTAGTTTCGATGATTTGGATTTGAGTCGTATTACACAATCATTGTGAATAATATGACTAGTTTTGTATGAAAAATGTGATAATACTGCTGAGCTAGGGAAATCTTTATTTTTCCAAACAAAATAATACATGTAGAGAAAGTTAAACTCGATATAAAACGAGAACCGTATTGGTTTAAGTTTTGAATACAAAGAAACATAACGTTAATGAGGAATATAACATGTAAAACCTCTATTAATTCCTTTTATGACTACAGGGCAGAAGAGAATTTGAAGAAAGTGAACTATGTCGACGACAAGATCAGATATCACCGATGACGCTAACAGTAGCGTCAACAATGGAGGAGGATTATCCAATCAAGAAGAAAAGAGAATTGTACTGAAAACAAGATTTGAGTATCGGGTTAGAAAAAAAAAATCTGCTTTTGTTTTGTTTAATTTCTCAAGATTACTATTATTTTTGATATTGTGAAACTGAAGCTAGTAAAATTCTAGGATGCTAGTGTGATATACTTCAATATGAAAAGAAACATGCGGTTCAAAAAAATCATGAAGTGTTACTATGAGCTTCATAATCTTGATTTCGACAACATTGTTTTCTTCTCCTATGGTCGTCGTCTCAGTCCTGAGCAAACACCTCATGAGGTAATTGATCCCAATTTTGCTGTCATGTTTCTTGGTCAGAAGATAAAATCATAATTTGATATAATCTTTTGATATGTACTTATGCAGTTTGATATGGAAAATGGAGATGAAATCGAAGCAATAGATGGTTGGGTGTTGAGATGATTGGATTTGTAACAAATATTGTTACAATGACATGTTATGCTTTTTTTACTTTTTAAAAATTTTATATAGTTATGAATCTTTTTTCCCTCTAATCCTCCCCCCCCCCCTTCAAATCCCCTCATTTTACCGCATATTTGTTGTTTAGAGACGCAAATTTAAATTTAAATGGATACTTACTCTCTTGAATCCTTAGAGCTTGTCAAGTTTATGTCCACATATCCATATAATCGGCTTAGAGACCAAATGTGATTTTAGGTGATTCATGTAATATAAAATACACATTGTATCTAAATGGTAAAATGGAAAAACATGGTAGAATCAAGACTGATTATATGTTTATCATCCATTTAAACTTTTCAACCTATACTACTAAATATTATTGCTAGATGACATTTAACCAAAATAAACAACAGTAGAAATGGGCAAGAATTATATTTGATTGGGCTACCATAAGTGTTGGACTGATCATGTATTTGATATTTGTTTATATAAGACATTTGCTACATAGGTTACAAATAAAATCAAAGTTACTTTTTCTATAAACTTAGTTTATAACACATTTAATACTATTCTAATTATTAAAATGTCCAGATATTTATAATTTTACTGAATTAGCTTTATATAATGGGAATATAATCCAAAGATATGAAACTGACAAAAGCCCATAATAATTTATTATTATTATTATTATTTTTTAAAAGAGAAGAAGAGTTATGTTCTACCAACTATATAATAAATGGAGAATGAAGAATCATTAATAGACTATATGTCATATTTTTTCACATAACATATGAAAAATCCAATTGTAGATAATATATTTTATTTTATCGGGCTATTTTACGGTTTTTAAAAAGTTCTTTACACATAAAAACATTTACATTGAGAAATCCGCAAATGAACTTAAAACGTGAGCCTAATATTTTTATTTGAAATTAATATACGTTATATTTTGGGTTTTTCTATATAAACATGATGACATTTTAACGTTATTCGTGATTGTTCGTCAAAACGTATATTTTATTTATTGCGCGTTGATTTTTTTTTTTGTTAACGTATGAATCACATAAGAAATAATATTTTCACTATTATGTTAACAACCAAAATTTTTTATTAAAATAATTAAAATATAAAAAAATTCTACAGTTTATTTCACTTTTAGTTAAAAAAAAATTCAACAAAAGTTGAATACAATGAGGGAGTATAACATAAGGTCGTAAATGAATTATAACAAATACTCATTTATAATGTCAGTATCATCATCATAATCAGTGACTAGTAACAACAACTAACTCAGAAAAATCTGATTAATCTAACTATATATTTTTTCTTGCAATTATCAACAGTATTCAACGAAGTAGTAATAAAGTTTTTTTATACATAAAAAATATTTACATTGAGAAATCCGAAAATGAACTTAAAACGTGAGTCTAATATTTTTATTTGAACAATATATATACGTTATGTTTTAGATTTTTTCAAAAGAACTTAAAACGTGAGTCTAATATTTTTATTTGAAAAAAGCATATACGTTAAATTTTAGATTTTTCTATTTAAACATGATGACATTTTAACGTTATTGGTTATTATTCGTCAAAATGTATATTTTATTTATTGCGCGTTGATTTTTTTGTTTTTAACGTTTGAATCATATAAGAACTAGTTTTATCACTATTATATTAAGAACCAAAACTTAAAAAAAAACAATTAAATTAACTAAAATAAAAAACCAACCTTTTTCCAAAGTATTTCACTTTTTAGATTATTTATAAAAAAAATATCAACAAAAGTTGAATAAATTGAGTATATAAAACACACATTCGAACACTACTAATAACATAAGGTCGTAAATAAATCATAACAAAGACTCATTTATAAAAATATATATACATTGAGACAATAATAATGTCAGTATCATCATCATCATCATCATAATCAGTGACTAGTAACAACAACTAACTCAGAAAAATCTGATTAATCTAACTATATATTCTTTCTTGCAATTATCAACAGTATTCAACGAAGTAGTAATAACTAATAAACATAGAGTCAAAATTAAAACACTAATTAAAGTCAAATTAAATCTAAAAAGAGTCATATCCCAAAATAAAAGTGATGATTAGTATTATAATAATTGCAAAATGTAATTACTAATTAAGTAAAGAAAGAAAAAAAAAATCGCGAGAAAAGAGGAAGCACGACGACATTGAAACGAGAAACTAGAAAGAGTGCTTCGCAATGGTCTTCTTCTTTAAAAAAAGAAAAAAAAAAAAGAAAAAAAAAAAAAGCTTCTCTTGCAATTCTCTCTCTCCTCATAAATAGAGACACAGAGAAAGAGAGAGAGAGAGAGTAGTATAAATATATTGACTAGTGTGTGTGTGTCCTAGAGAGAGAAACTCGCCGCTTTTAAGATTTTTTTTTTTCTTTTCTGGGTTTTAAGCAGTAAAGCACTAAGCACATATCTCGAGCACACACAGGTCAGTGAAGGAGAAAACTGTATTTTTTTTTTATTTTTTTTTGGATATATATATGGTTTTGAGTCTTCTGGGTTCTCTTTGGAGGAGCGTGCATGTTTTTTTTGTTCGTATTGTTGATTTTTGTTTTGTGTTTTACATTTTCTGGGCAACGGCTAGTTATCTCGGAGGAAGAAGAAGAAGAAGAAGATCGATGGATTACGGAGATGACGATCGGTATTTTTGCTGCTTTGTTTTATCTCGATTTGGTTTTTGTTTTTGATTTTGATTTTGTTTTTGTGTGTTTGGGTTTGGGTTTGATTTAGTTCGTTTCGCATTCTTCGATTTTGTGGGTTTTTTGTGCTATGTTTAGTCTGATTCGTGTGTTCGCTTTGTCTGGGTTTGACTGTAATCGTTGATTTGATTTGTGGGTTTGATTTGATTTGTGGGTTTAATGGCGAAGGATGAAAATGTTGGATTTGATCTTTAATTGTGAGTTTAAGAGATGTTTTTGGGGGTGTTTGTTAATGAAATGTTTGGGTTATTTAATGTTTCAATCAATCATTTCGGATTTGGGTTTTTATTTGGCTTGTCAGATCTTTACTAAACTCCTTAAATTTCGTTAAAATTGTTTTTTTATGTTTGGTTTTTGAGTTTTTATACTGGACAGTGGTCAGGATTCATGTTTGGGGTGTTGTGATTGAGCTTGATGTATGCAATGTACTTTAGTTTGAGTTGCTGGTATACATGTGTGCTCTTTGGTTGAGGCTTTTCACTAGACAGTGGTCAGGATTCGTGTTTGGGGTGTTGTGATTGAGCTTGATGTATGCAATGTACTATAGTATTGAGTTGCTTGTAGATATGTGTGCTCCTTTGTTGAGGCTTTTCACTTGACAGTGGTCAGGATTCATGTTTGGGATGTTGTGATTGAGCTTGATGTTTGCAATGTACCATAGTTTGAGTTGCTGGTAGATATGTGTGCTTTTGGTTGAGGCTTTTCACTAGACAGTGGTCAGGATTCATGTTTGGGGTGTTGTGATTGAGCTTGATGTTTGCAATGTACTATAGTTTGATTTGCTGGTAGATATGTATGCTCTTTGGTTGAAGCTTTTCGTTAAAATGGTCTTTTATGTTTGGTTTTCGAGTCTTTACACTAGACAGTGGTCATGATTCATGTTTAGGATGTTGTGATCCAGCTTGATTTTTGCAATGTACCATAGTTTTAGTTGATGGTAGATATGTGTGCTTATTGTTTGAGGCTTTTCAGCTTTCAAGTAGACTAGATTAGTAAACATGTAAGTGTACTCTGGGTTTGATTTATGTAATGTGTGAAAAATTTGCAGTAGCACTTCATGGAACTGGCAAATTGAGGAGTATAATCACCAACCACAGTCTCATTACTGTAAGCTTCTCTTTCATTAATCAACTCTTTACAGTTTACAGCACTGTGACAAGTATGATTGAATTGTTCTCTTTTAACTACAGCGGATGTGCCTGATTGCACAATGACTGAAGTCGCATTGAACCAAGAAGATCACTCGTACATGTTTGATGATGAAACCACTCCTGTGAAGGCGTGTAGCGACTTGAGTTATCATGTCACCACAGGTTGTGCTTTCTTTTTTTCATGTCGTTAATTTACTTTCTGATGTTTATTTAGTGATGGTTTCTAATCTAAAGAGTCTGCTTTCAGATGATACAAACAGGAAACTGGAAGTGCATAGTGAGACACGCTCTGCTTTGAAGAGGCGTCGGATGTTACAATTTGAAGACCAACCTGAAACATCCCTTTTCAGCAGTGAGAGTTTCTCTGCAATCTTAAAATCAAGCGTGAGTACACAAACCCCATTTCTTGTCTTAGGTTATGCACCGAATGCCCACAGATATATTGCAGATATATTCTTAATATCCAAACTCATTGCTCACTTAAGGATGCATACATAGGATATCAATCATTTAATATCACACAGACTGCATATGGACTGAATTGTGAATGCATGTTCATTACAAACGTTTTCAAATGGGAATCAGTTTCGTTTCATACACATTTTTCTACTACACCTAGAACAAGTTCGAGCTTCTTGGTATCTGACTGCCTCGTTCAATTGTTATATACTTACTGGGGCAAGTTATTATCTAAGTAACATTGATAGCTAGGAGGCTGTATAAGATTCTGATGCTATCTTTAATGCTTTGATTGATATTTCTTCTATGCATGTTCAGGCTAGAGATGACACATTTGATGAGCTTTTACCCGAAGGGTCTCAGCTTATAGAAGGGTTTTCAGGTTAGGCTTCTCTTATAATTCTTCTAACTCAATCTGGCCAAAGCATTTTCCATTCAAAGTTTCAAACAAAACATCGTCTCTTTTTCAGAAGACGCCTCTGCCTCAAGCTTCGAGGGCCTTGATCTGTATGCTGAAGAGTGGTACGCTGAATGCTTAAATGATGCTGAGACTCCAACCCTACCTGATGACTTGTACGTTTTGACATTTCTTTTTACTTATCTCATGTTTTAGTAGCACCATTTGCTTCATTAACTGATAACAATTGTTGTTCTATCTCAGAAACTTTGGTTCACCTGATGTCCAAGTAGACATTTCAGGTCAGATTTCGTTGTTTTGGTCTCTCCCTTAGCTAGCTCTAGCTCTGGCTTTTCTTGCTAAACATCCCTGTGTTTGTTGCAGAGTATCTAAATGTGCCACCAGAAACAGAAACCCGGAAAGTTCAGCGGCCTGTTACTCGTTCTTCTCCAAATGTTATCTTCAAAGGTAAAACATACAATGATTTAGTCAAAATTTGGTCTCGTAGTTACACACTGATTTTGCAACAAAATGAGAAAACACAACACTATTACTAATGTTTTAAAGTGGTAATAGCAGGTAGGAAATCTTTTTCAAGGCCGGTTTCAAAGCAACCATCTTCCATCATCTATCCATTTGCATTCATCAAACCATGCGGAGTTCACGGTGGTATGACTCTCAAGGACATAAACCAGAAAATCCGAAATCCGCCAGCGAAACCAAAGGAACACATAGAAGAGCCTGTAGTGATCCAAACTTCAGCATTCTCTGGGAAACCTGTTGTAGGGAAGACTAAAATCCGCACCGAAGGAGGCAAAGGAAGCATAACGATTATGAGGACAAGAGGCTAAAGCAAAGTTAAGTAATTGGTCGTGATAAGCTGATAGAAGTATCTAAGGTTTTATATTCGCTGCAAAAAAAAAAACAACTTTGAAACTTTTTGCCTTATTCTCAGAGGCCCTTAAATCCTTTTTGTCGGATATAGTTCCAGTCAAAGGGCCTTTATCAGTACAGCGGCTAAATACTCTTTCAAGATCTTATTATAAAATCATCTTCTTGTTTCGTTTTGGTATCTGTAGTAAGAAAGAGAGCTTAAGGATCAATCTGTAACCAATGTGGTAGGATACTTTTTGTTTGTATAAAGTCCCTTGCTCTTAATGTTATCTGAAACTGAAGCCAAAAACTCTCTTATGTCTCCAAGTCTCTCTGGTTGGACTGCTATATAAAGTAGAAGAAGCAAGTCTTAGTTTTCCATCAAAATTTTGTGAAATGTTGGAGTCAAGAAAGGAGTTTTAAGAGTCTTCTTTGTTACCCTAAACAAGGTCTTAAAACTTCGGCTGAACTCTTGAATACAAAAACCCAAGTGAAGTTATAATGTATGCTTCAGAGAACATCTGAATATTTGAGATTTAAGGATAATCAATAACAAGGTTTCGTGAAGATATTTGAATAAGAGATTCCGACCAATGAAAGAGTATTTTCAATGAAGATTCATCAGAATTTATGAGCGGAGAAGGTGATGAAGTAAGGTGAAACTAATAGCTAATTGAGGAGTTACCATGTTAGTTTACACGTGTTTTATTTTTAAAATATTGTCGTATGTAAATGATGGGCTTAAACCTTAATTACTTTTGGATTTGTTTTTAACTAAAAGAAGGTAAAAATAAAAAAGGAGATCTCTAGGTTATTATTTTATATAGGTTTTAGTGTATAAGAAAGCACAAGGAATCTCTCTAAAAGTAGGCATATGAACAGTCCATTTTGTGACACATTTTTGTTAGTTCTTCTTTTGATAAAAAAATATTCTTATAAAATTGCAAGCGAGATATAAGATTGTGACTTGTTAAGCATATAGTTTGAAATAAAGAGAAAGACAAACTTAACATAGTAAAGGGGGTAATTCCCGCCATCTGGATTCGAGTAATATTGTCTACCAAGGTTCGAATAGTTTAACATAGTAATGAAAGATAATTCTTGCCATCTAAATTCGAGTAGCATTCGCCACCGAAATTCGAGTAATTTAACATAGTCTTCCCGGATTCTAGAACTAGTCTTTGAGCCTTAAAAAACTTTTACGAACTTGACTAAAAAAAAAGTTATATACCAAAAGTACTGAGGCTACTGAATCAATACGAAACCGGATATCCGAATGCCCATAACTACAAAGCCCAATTTCTGATGCCCACAAGGCCCAATAAAATTCCACAATATTCCCAAATTTTTCCTCCCTTTTCCAGTAAATGTCTGATCCTTGAAATTTCTTTGAGGATAGTTCAAATGGTTTCGTTCTCCACCTCCACTCCCCACGCGCCTCCGCTCCCGACGACGTTTAACCGCCGGCCGACGGAGAGAATATTCACAGTACGATGTATCTCAATCTCCCCACGCGAGCCGAACCACACAATTTCTTCCGATTATAGCAACAATACTTCCTCCTTGTCGATTAGAGATACGAGGCAAAGCAAATGGCTGATGAATACAGAGAACGCGAATGAGAGAGATTCGAAGGAGGATACGAACACGAAGATCGCTTCGAGGAAAGCCATATCGATAATACTAAGAAGAGAAGCTACAAAGGCTATAATCGAGAAGAAGAAAGGCTCGAAGAAGCTTCTTCCAAGGACTGTTCTTGAGTCTCTTCACGAAAGAATCACAGCTCTCCGATGGGAATCTGCACTTCAGGTTGATTTCGTCTTCTCCGAGATTATCTCAGACTTTTGATTTTGGCATTGATAGTGAATTTGACTATGTTTGATTATGCTTATAGTAGCTTTAGATTGTATATTGTGATTAGGAATTTTGAAATATGCTGTTAAAGGATGACTAATTTAATGGTTTTAGAGTGAAGTGTTTGAGTTTTGTGAGTTTGATTATAAGATAATGTTGGTGTATCTGTAGGTGTTTGAACTATTGCGTGAACAGCTATGGTATAAACCAAACGTTGGCATCTATGTAAAGCTTATTGTGATGCTTGGAAAATGCAAACAGCCGGAAAAGGCTCATGAGCTCTTTCAGGCAATGATTAATGAAGGTTGTGTGGTGAATCATGAAGTGTATACTGCGCTTTTATCTGCGTATAGTAGGAGCGGTCGCTTTGATGATGCGTTTACTCTTCTTGAACGTATGAAAAGTAGTCATAACTGTCAGCCGGACGTGCATACCTATTCCATCCTCATTAAGTCGTTTCTTCAGGTTTTTGCGTTTGATAAGGTTCAGGATTTGCTTTCTGATATGAGAAGACAGGGTATTAGACCCAATACAATCACATATAATACTCTCATCGATGCATATGGGAAAGCAAAAATGTACTTAGCACCCTGCCCTTTCCTTTTGAACTTTTATTATTTTATCGATTACACTCACTCCATCCCATATGATGTTTCGTGGTTGCAAATATTTTGACTTATGTGGAAAAGGAAATGTTTAAATTCCCGTTTTCGTTAATTTCATTCAACCGAGAACTTTACACATGCTAGGATGGAGTGATTACTTGAATTTAACAATGATAAGGATTCAGTTATCATGTTTTAGTTCAAAGCATCCATGAACTTATATATTTCTTTTGTTTTGGAAGGTTTGTGGAGATGGAATCAACACTTATCCAAATGCTTGGGGAGGACGATTGCAAGCCTGATTCTTGGACCATGAACTCTACTCTTAGAGCCTTTGGGGGAAATGGACAAATAGAAATGATGGAGAATTGTTATGAGAAGTTCCAGAGCTCTGGGATTGAACCCAACATCAGAACCTTCAATATCCTCCTTGATTCATATGGAAAATCAGGAAATTATAAGAAGATGAGTGCTGTGATGGAATACATGCAGAAGTATCAGTTTTCATGGACCATAGTCACCTACAATGTGGTTATTGACGCGTTTGGGAGGGCAGGAGACTTAAAACAAATGGAATACTTATTTAGACTAATGCAATCAGAGAGAATTAAACCAAGCTGTGTTACACTATGCTCTCTTGTTCGTGCCTATGGGCGTGCTGGTAAAGCTGATAAACTTGGGGGAGTCTTGCGTTTCATTGAGAACTCAGACATAAGGTTAGACCTCGTGTTCTTTAACTGTCTGGTTGATGCCTATGGGAGGATGGAAAAGTTTGCAGAGATGAAAGGTGTTCTCGAACTCATGGAGAAGAAAGGATTTAAACCTGATAAGGTTACATACAGGACAATGGTTAAGGCTTATAGAATTAGTGGTATGACTACCCATGTAAAGGAACTTCATGGTGTTGTTGACTCTGTTGGTGAAGCCCAAGTTGTGTTGAGGAAGCCGGATTTTTAGCGGAGGAATATAGCTCAATTTTCTGGTATATATATTTCTTGTATCCATATCTTTGTTCTAATGATAGAAGGTAGTTAGTATGAGAGTAAATACATTTTGAGTTGGCTTACAAAACTTTGTAACACAAACAAAAACAAAATTTTGTAACGAAGTATATCTTTGTACTCTTGTTTGTGCCTTTGTGGTGTGTTATCAGTCTGTATGTGCTGAAGCAGCTAGATATGAGAGTTGAAGGCTGTACGCTTCTTTCAGTTTAGTCAAAACTTCTGCAATAGACGGTCTGCCAGATGCATCTCTCTCCAAACATCTTATAGCGATCGAAGCAGCTTTTCTCATGCTCTCTGGATCAAATGTATCCTTCAAGATATCATCAACAATCTCAAATGCTCCTGCTTGTAAGTTTGGCCTAGCCTGCATTTTTCAGTATTTTGATCTTATAACTACACTGCATACTTGAAAATACTGGGAGATGAGAAAAAAGGACAATCATGTTTCTCTCACCCATAAGACCAAGTTAAAAGAATCTGGTGATCCTGAGTGACTTAAGGGTTCTCTTCCACAGATGAGTTCCAACAAGACCACACCAAAGCTATAGACATCACTTTTCTCTGTCAGCTGCAGGGTGGAGTAATATCTGAAATGAAAGAGTGTGATTACTGATAAGCTAAGCAAGCTATTAATACATTCATGAATGGGGAGAGAAGTTGTAGAAGAGTTTACTCAGGGTCAAGGTAGCCTGCAGTGCCTTTAACAACAGTAGTAACATGAGATGCATCTGCTTTTGTAAATTGTTTTGACAGGCCAAAGTCAGAAACTTTTGCGTTCATATCCTTGTCCAGAAGTATGTTACTGCTCTTTACATCCCGATGTATAATTCTCGGCTCACTTCCATTGTGTAGGTAGTCCAATCCTTCATGAAGAAGACAAAAATGTTACTACCCGCCAAAAGAAGTTGTTTTAGTATGATGATACCAATTACAGATGTTAAAGATGTACCTTTTGCAGCATCAACTGCAACTTTTAGTCTTGAAACCCAGTTCATTGACAGCCTTTTGGTACGTGAACCTGGTGAAGCAAGATAGCACAAAAAGCTATAGGTTCGAGAGGAATATCACGTTGATAAAGGATGATGATGAGCTATTGTTATCGATACTTAAAGATTTGCATACCGTAAAGATGATCAGCTAATGATCCACCAGACAGATACTCATACACCAGTATCTGCCGTTTTGGTTCGTAGCAGAAGCCCTCAAAGGATACTAGATTTTGGTGGCGGATCTGAGACAAAAGGTGCACCTAGAAGGTTGACAGTACAAAGGGAGACTTTTAGATCTCAGCACTCATAACACTAAAGATGAATGCATCATTGGTCATGGTATTAAGAATGCATGACATTCAGATATGGACAGTAAGTTATGAGGACATTGTGGGGGCTTAACCTCGTTGATAAAAGAATCAGCTCCAAGTTGAGTCCTATCAAATCGCACTTTGACCGCAACTTGTTTTCCATCTGGTAGTTTTCCACGGTATACAGCTCCAAAACTTCCACGACCGATTACTTCCTTAAAATTCCTAGTAGCTGACTTGATCTCTTTATGAGAAAAGATTCTTGAAGTGTTCCAGTTCTGCATCTTCAGCTGTGCTCCTGATACAGATTTTGTTATACTGTAAGAATCATAAAGCGACAACTTTGTGGGGGCAAAAGAGAAAGCATTGTTCCCATACTGGTTATATCTCTCTCTTTGTTTCTCTGTCTCCTCATCCTGATCGATATGACAACAAAGACGAGGACGGTGGCAAACAAGGCTCCACAAGAAACTCCAAGCAAGATCGCTATTCGGTTCTGCTTCCTGTGTTTCTTATTGATAGGGATAGTGACTTGTGGTGTGTCAATTGTTGAAGACACATTGTTGCATGATAACGAAGAAAACGAAAGGCATGGATTTCCCGTTGTCCTGATAAAACAGCAATTCAGTAATGCTAGGAACACAAGCAAAATATTGTTAGCAAATGCGGAGATGGAAATTGTGTACCTGACTTCCAGACCCGTTCGGTTGAGAGATTGTGGCAAGGGGCCTACTAAGTTATTGTTTTCTAGATTCCTGAGAAGAAGTAATGAATATATCCTTCCTTGTGTGAATATGGTAACGTATAAGCTACTTCTTGAACTTAGTGTTTACTTACAGGAGACGAAGTTTCTCCAGTTTTCCTAATGTTTCAGGAACTGATCCTTGTAAGCTGTTGTTTTGCAGGTCCCTGAGAAATGGAGGAATCCTTTAAAATTTCCAGAAAGAACGAACGTATATCCAGAAATTCTCAGTATAATATCACTTACAGAACTTCAAGGTTGGCCAGATCTTCCAGTTCTGAGCCAAAAGATTTCAACTGATTGAAGCTCAAATTCCTGGATAAACCGTCAGAAGCTTTTGAATACTACAGGAGGCCTAAAAAATAATTTAACGTTCAAGGGACGAGTATTACAGTTTCTGGAGATGCTGCAGGCTGCCTACATTCTGTATTGCACCAGTAAGTGATGTATTATGCAAGTCGCTGTGGGAGGGAAGTGGAGAACACTCAAGACAACACACATCACACATGTAAACATGAGACGCTAGAAAAATGGTTGAAGAACTGCTAACTTACAGTGTCTTAAGATCGAGTAAGTCTCCAAATGTTGGACTAATAGACCTCAGGTTGATTTTTGAAAGAAACCTGGACAGCCAGAATAAGAAAAAATATGAGCTGAGATCAAGAAATGTTGAATGCAATGGGTATCATAAGGATATGTTGTTTTACAATGATGTAACAAGGTTTCCTTCACATTCTATATGGTTCCAAGGTAACGGGGTACATGGGTCGTCTTGCCATCCAAGGTCTTGCCCGGTAAATTGCTCTATGACTTTAAGTGCTGAAACTGCAAATATAACTTAAAAGGTGAACTTTGGCTCTGGCGGAATTTTCTCTATCCAGGCAAAATCAGCAGAGAGTACCTGTGGTAGAAGAAGCTTCAGGAGGGATTTGGAGGATTTCATACACTTCAACAGCGTTCACCTGAGGATTGAACTTGATTTTGCCGAGGGTGATGTTTAACGTTCTGATTCTGTTTTGTGTAAAGTACAAAGTACCAGCTTCTGAACTGGTTACTGTGTAATCAGATTGTTTGACTTCACCGTTGATCATCACACTAAAAGAAGGGGAGAGTGAGAGTATCCCAGAAAAGTACAGGATAATGTAGTAGTCCCCTAGTGTATGTAGAGAAAGCGTATACGATAGACTGTCTTTGCGAGCAAGAATCCTTGCAGTCTGCAGAACAGAAGCTGGCGGATTCTCAGAAATGTTGAAGGAAGTCAGTTTTGTGAGTCTACTGAAACTCGAAGAGGCGTGAAACGGTGCAAAACTTTGATCCGGATCCCATATTCGATCGAACGGATCCAAAGGGTACCTGCCATTCAACAAAGAACACCAAGAAAATTCAACAAGCCACACCAAAGAAGGAACTGGTCAGAGAAAGTGATCAAGTGCAGAGCCTGAGAATTCATACCGGATAGTACCATTTGTGTATCCGCTATTGATTCGGTAACTTCTCCTGAGAATGACATTGGCTGAACCGTCCAGGCTGTTTCTGTAAGCACCTAGAGGAAGTGGCCGTACTTCTAGAGAAGAGATAACCGGAATGCCTCTCCCTTTAATCGCAAGCAAACAAAGCAAAAGAGAATCATTGTTCACCGGCCAAACCAACTCTTCAATCCAAGGATCATTGGTTCTAAGATCAACAATACTAGTTATACTCCTTCCAAGAGAGACATGAAATGCTGGAGGACTGTTCTGGCTATCATAGTTTCTATAAACGAATGTCGCCCGAATCAGAACAGAGGACAAGTCCTTCTTTGTCACAGGTACCTTATAACATTGCCGATCATGAGAATCCGGGAAGAATCTGATGGGAACACTGGAAGTAGAGTTCCCGTCGATGAATGTAACCGTGCTAGTGTTACCCGTTTCGATATAATCGTTGTCTGAAACCCATGAGATGTTATAAGCCGCAGTGTAGCTTGAGCCACCACAGGACAAACTCAAGAAACCTGTTCCATGACAAAGATTCAAATCAAACAGTTGAAAGCAAAGGAATAGAAATAATGTGAGACAAAGTCTAGAATCTGCATACCATCTGGATTGGAGAAACCAAACACCCAAAAGCCACTGAACAAAATCAAATCGAGCCAAAAGAGCATCATCTAGTTTCCTGAGTGAAATCTGAAGAACATATGTTAATTAATTGTTCTCTCGTTTCTTTGTAATGTGTATGAAATATGAATCAAGACTTATATACATGAAGATGTCAATGATGATGACTCGTAGGTACTTTACTCAGTGGTCATAATTCACTAACAGTATGGTTCAGCTTAATAATCTAATTAACAATTTAACTACAGTGAATGTTTTATTGAGTCTTCCTTACATATCACATAAAAAAAATACAAGTGATGAGAGATAGTGTCAAATATGTAACTGAGATTTTGTTTGCTCAATTATTAAGAATTATGATTATGAGAATGATGCTTGAGAGAGAATTTTTCAAATGCAATGATATTACGTTTTGCTTGGCTTCAACATTAATCCTCTCATTGCACCCTCCTTAAGCTTTCTCATAAAGCAAAACTTTTTTGGACAAATCGTTTATATACAAAAATCTCCAAGAATTTGGAAAAATAAATAAATACTAGCTAATTAGTGATTTAGAAAGCATAAAGTTCATTACGCAAAGTCGTTTGAAAATTATCTTTAATTTTTTAATTTTTTTTTTTATTTTTTTTTTTTGTAAACCTTAAAATTTTCTATTAAATATCTTATTTTTCTATCAAAATTTATTACGTACTTAGGAAAAAAAAATCCAAAGTCTTACCAATGTAAAATCAAACTAAGAGTATTAAAAAAAAGTCATGTTTGATTATTCAAGGAAGAACTATATAAAAAGGAAAAACTCTTCTACAAGTAAGAATGGAAAAATAGTCATAATAATTAACAATGTAAAGACACAAAACAAGAGCATAATAATACTTTTTTTTTGGTAATGGAAAAGTCTCCTATAATTTATTCAAACCGAAAAAACAATTACAATCTAACATTCCGTTGGACCGATCGCCCATTCATATCATCCAACAAAACCGGAATAACTTCATCCGGACAAAAATCAAAAACTTTAATACCAAAATCTAAAGTAAACGCATAGTTAGCTAATCCGTCGGCAAGACGATTAGCCTCCCTATACACGTGAGTCACCCGGACTAACCAGTCCCTTGAAATAAAGCCGTGGCACAAGCGTACCAAGAAAGCGGATGCATCTCTGGAACCCCTGACTGTAAAAAACCCACCACCAAAACCGAATCCACTTCCAAAACCACCCGCCTCCAACCGTGTTCCCATGCTAACACCTGCCCGTAATAACCCCCCTCCCCCCAAAGCTCCGCTAACGGAGCCGAGCAAAGGCCTATATTCAAGGAAAATCCCACTAGCCATTCACCATCTGCATTGCGAATAATCCCACCCGCCGTTGCCTTGCCCGGATTTCCCCTTGAAGCCCCATCCGTGTTAACCGTCACCCAACTCTCATAATAATACTTGACAACCTTAAAAACTAGACATCAATGGAAGGAGTCTGATTAGCTTCTTTGTCTTCAGATTTCTTGCACCACAAATAATTAACCCTATATATATATATTTAAATTGCAGAATCTCCATCACAATCGCAAACAATCCAATGATACCAATGATGGTACTGTAATAAGCAATCTTCCATGAGCTTCCGGGTTGCAAGATGGCTAAGCCTTTGTAGATGTTGTGTACACTTAGTATAACCACTATATATCCCATAGAATGATCCTTGTCCGGTCTTGCTTTGAGCGCAAGTATCTGCATAGAGTGCAAAATGGTTGTCTAGGGTTTAATGATACACTTTGACTCAAATAGAATTTTCTAGTTGTAAAGTATGTTTGTTCAAAAAATAATAAGTGTAATAATTCATTTAGTATGTATGATGGTAAACAAGTGTCTTGCAAGTAAACAATTCATGAGGTAATACTAATTGGAACAGATATGCAACAGAAACTATCTCGATCTCGCGGAGGTGGCGATGATGATGACGAAAGACTGTCCTAATCCACGGTCCAATGTTTCTCGTCCAATCTAATTTGACATAAATGCTTTCTAGAACATGAGACTTATGTGAAAGCATTGACTTGTCCATAAAACGTTTGAAGCTAGTGATATCCTTGTGATGGTAAACATTGTACTCGAGTCTAGGCACCTTTGTCCAGAGATATTTCCATTTTTTGGACAAAAGACTTGTCAGCACAGCATGTTTTGTTGGAAGGAATGACAATATCGTCAAGATCAAATCTTCAGGCAGCTCACTGATTCTACTTTTCGTAGTCGAACAAACCTTCTTTGACATGGTCTCTGCTTAGGTCAAGCAATACACTATATATATATATATATAGATGTTAAAACCCTAGTTACGTTACAATAGATTAATTAGTGTAATGATACAACGAATTTGCTTCGAATAGTGTGAATTATGTTCTTCAACTATGCTACACTTATTATGCCCCAATTTACGTGATATGATCTGAAACATCTCATCATGTCTTCCTAACTTCTTATAAAGCATTGTATATATCATGTGTTTTTCTAACAAAGCACGCAAGATTACAAATAGCAATCTCAACTACTTGACCACAACTTGACATGACTTGGAACCTCTTTCCATAGAAGCTAAGTCCTCCACTATCAGTTGCATATCTTTTATGTCGTCAGAGAAGATTCTCATGCACCGTTTTCAAACATAGCGCATGCTTCAGGAGATAGCTCATATAACCTCTATCCATGTCTCTCCCTGTGTATCCTCTCCACTCTAAAGCTTCAAGGCTAGACAACAAACATTCCGGAACACAAGTCCATGTGTATATAGGACTTAGTTTATAGACCTGCCAACACAAATAAAAAAGGGTAATCAATGAAAATGTAATGTACTCAAAATCAAAAGTCTAAAGGAAAAAATGGGTAGAAATTAATTAAATACATTCTCAAGCTTGAGAGACACCAATTTAGTTGAACAGTGGAGCAAGTCTACAAGCAATTTCTGAGATCTTTCACAACATATTCTCATCTCCACTTGTACAATCCGTTGGAAGATACTTGTATACTAAAAATATATAATATAAAGTGATTTGTCATTTATGTATAGTAATGGTTGTTAACTAAGATATAATAGTTAAAGGAAACGACATAGAATGAAAAAAGAACTTACCTCTAGTTTTGATGGATCCTCAAGTCTAACCCTCATATAAAAGGGGGAATAAATATACGACAACTCCACTTGAATGCTGAAATACCTTAAAGAAGGTGCCATAGTAACAATGTTTCGAATGTAATGTTCCAATGAACTACAAGAAACTGTGGAGACTTTTGGTATATAAATCGATAATCTTTGTAAGCAAGGCATGGCTATATCCAAATCTACCATAACATGACTGGTCTTTTCATCCAATGTTAGGTCCGAAAGAAGAGGGCAATGAGATAAAAGCCGACAGAAGGAATCATTGCTCAAGCTCTTCATGCGAGTAACATGCAGAGTATTGAGGAACGGGAGACCGAACCGAGAAGAAGGAGAAGAAATGCTGATCACATCAGTCAAACCTTTGAGTTTCAAAGCCACAAGCGTTTTGCACCAAGAAACATCGAACTCGAAAACATAGATAGTAAATGATGTCACTGTGATCTTGAGATCAGTAAGATAATTGCAATTGGATAAAAGCATTTGAAGGGATTCATACTTGAATAGAGCCGACATGTGTTCAATGTGCAAAGTTTTTAAGGATGGGAGAGAGACGGTTGTAAGATCTGCCACTCTGATCAATTCACCTTTGAGTTTCAAGACAACAAGTGTCTTGCAAGTAAACAACTCATGAGGTAATGGGGTATATGCACCAGAAGCATCTATCTCAAGCTCGCGGAGGTGGCAATGATGATGGCGAAAGACTGTATCAATCCACTGTCCTATATTTACCCAATAATTTTTGAAAGAAACGCTTTCTAGTACATGAGATTGATGTGACAGCAGTGACTTGTCCATAAAAAGTTCAAAGCTAGTGTAATCCTTGTGATCCATAGCATTGTACTCGAGTCTCGGCACCTTTGTCCAGAGAGATTTCCATTTTTTGGACAAAAGACTTGTCACCACAACATGTTTTGTCGGAAGGAATGACAATATCGTCAAGATCAAATCTTCAGGCAACTCGTTGATACTACTTTCCGAAATTGAACAAACCTTCTTTGACATTGTCTTTGCTTTGCTTACAGGTCAAGAAAATAATCTAGAATATGTTAAAAAAAAACCTAGTTTACCGAGACTGGATTTTCTCATTCGCCTTGAGTATCAAGTTTCTCGAATAAACTAATAGTTAATTAAACAGAGTCGTATCAAATATAATTGCTAACCAGATTTCGTAATGTAGAGACTCTGAAGATCTGGATGGAGAGGTTTTAATCTTCAACGTCAAGCTCTGTTCAGGATGATCAGATTGAGATCTATTAGTACGGCACAGCACTAACCTAACTGATTAGGTATATCCCTTTTTGTGTTTTTGGGCCATATTTGGGCTCACCAACTAGTAACTTACCAAGTTTTTGTTGTTGTCAATCTGAAAATTTGTATATTCGTTTCCTTTTTTGGCCAAACTAATTTTCATATTACATTTGCTAGAAAATTTCATATGGATGGGGAAAAAAACCGAACCCGAATACCCAATTTTGGAATCTGACCAAAAAAAATTGATTCGGATAAAATATGGGTATGTCTAAATAACCCTATTGGCCGGATTTTATATTGGTAAATCCGTGGATTTGGGTTAGGGTTAGCGTAATACCCGTTATCCAAATGAGTACCCATAAAATCCAAACAATATACAAATATCTAAAATATTATTATAATATTAATAGCATTTAGTTATCTAATATTATAATTACAGTTTTGAATGTATCAATTAAATTTACACATAAATACCTAAAATAATCAAAATATCTCAAATTTATTTGTTACATATGTCAATATTTTGCTAAATTTGTTTAATTTATCTAATTATTAAAAGGTTTTTTTGGTACCCGGTAATTTGGATAGTAATCGGGTTCTAAACTTTGTAACCCAAAACCGATCCAAACCCAAACATACCCAAACCCAAACCGAACAAAAAAGTCTAAAATTACCCAATGACTTCTATTTTCCTAAACCTATATAACCCAAACCCGACCAGAAATCCTGAATGCCCAAGCCTTTATTCTAATTTTTACCACAATTTTAATATTTTGGAAAGCGTTTTATTTTCGTTGTTTCAAACTTTTGTAACTAATGAATTTTGCTACGCGATAATTAGATAAATAGAACTCAAGAACTAAAATGTTAGGAGTACAAATTCCGATACAAGACCTAAGTAAAAGTAAAAAAAGTAATTGGGTCGCTCAAAAAACATGCAAACACAAAACTACTACTGATGAGCTCAGTACTTGACTGGTGCAAGAATATCGAGCTGAGCTCCGAGCTTTTCTTCAGCAACCTTCTCGGCCTTAACTCTAAGTTTGTTAATTTGCTTCTTTCGCTCGTAAACAACTTGAGCTCTCTCCTTCCTCTTTGCCTCGAGCTCCTGTTTATCAGACATCAGACACCATTAATTTACACACAAAACCTCATACATAATGATCTTTCTCCTTTCTATTGCTTAACAAAACTAAGAAACAATTTAGTAGCTAAGTATCTTTCTTTCTATCATTATGAACTCTCACATCAACTGTACAAGTGATCACCCTAGTCAAGGAGGCTAAAAAACTTTCCTTCTATCTACCATTTCTTTACGAACAAAAGCTCATGTCAACTAGTACAAGCGATCAAAGTGGTTCATGAGCAACGGAGACGAGAAAAGCTATTGATTTGTCTCACTATCTAATCACTTCTTACTGAACAAAACTACAAACCTAGACACTAGTAGCTAAATATCTTTCTTCTCATCATTTCCAAAGCTCATATTAACTAGTACATACAATCAAATCAGGTTATAAAGCAATAGATACAAGACGCCAACAACACAATACCTTGATGGTGTCATAATGGTTCCACCCAACTTCAGAAGAAAGACGGCCCAAAAGACAATACTTGTGACCAGCTTGAAGCCTCAAGACCCTGAAGAATGCCAAAGACAATGAATACAATGCCAAAAAGTACCTAACTTACGAAACTTAGCGAGGAAAGCAAAAGAGTATAGTTAAAGGAACAAACTTGAGAGCATCAGGGATGACCATCCTCTTGACCTTGTCATATGGAGTAGGAACTCCTTCAAATACCTTCAAACGTGCAAGTGCAGCAGCTCCACGCTTTGTTTTGTGTGGAATCATACTTCAAAATCAAAAAACACATCACAACAACTATGAATCACTCACTTCATAAAAACAGAATCACAAATTGAAATCAATACTCCATGATATCTCAAGATTACAATCACGAATTGAATCAACACAAAGACCTAAACTAAGAGCATGAACCATAAACTGTAAAATTCCAAAATCAAATCGGAGAAAATGAGAGAGAGATTGATTTTACGAACCCACGAACAGTACGCCAGAAGATTTTGGAAGGAGCACGGAAGTGAATAGGTCCATGGGAAGGTTTAGTGTTCATACGCTTACGAAGAAACCTCATGTACTTCATTTTCTGGCGAACGAGTCCACCGGAGAGGCAAATCTCTTCGCACCGGACAATGACAACCTTCTGACCATTGAGAAGCTCTTTGGCGGTGATCGAAGCTAAACGACCAAGCATGTGGTGGCGCGCGTCGACGACAACGCGCTTCGCACATATCCCTGATCCTGACACCATTTTCGTCTGTGTTGAGCTTGAGCGGCTGGTGAAGAACAGTCAGGAAATTATACTCTTAGGAGTTTTTTCGAATTAGGGTTTCGGTTTTGGCGATCGTTTTGATAATGGGCCTAATCAATTAGGTGCTCTCGCCTTTGAGGAAAAAGGCCCATTTGTGATCATGTCCATGAGACTAAATAATCACATATTGGGATAATTTTGTTTAAGAATCGACTGATGTAAAAAAAAAAAAACTAAAATCAAAACTGATTTAACAAGATGGAACCACTTATTTCAATTTTTTTTTAAATTATATAGATGTATTTAAGCCATAAATTGATATATATTATCAAATTACCAATAAAAAGGGGAAAATGATTAAATCAACTAAGTATTTTGAATATAGTACACCAAATAAACAAATAAAATTGAAAGGAAATAGATATATTACAGACTTACAGTACTTGGTCTTGTTTTCATAAATTTCAAAGTTTGGGAGTTTGCATGAATAGTTAGTTAAGTAGTATTTTTTTTTCCTACATATGTTTTCAAAATTTAAGTTTTGATATATTTAGTTTTGTAACTAAAAATATGAATATCATTTTTCTTCTATGAAAAAGAAAACCTACAAAAATATTAGTAAATCATATATCTACATAATGTATATTTTTCCCCCACGAATATCATTTATTTCATATAAGCAAAGAAAATAGTTTAGTGTGTCTCAAGAGAGAACTTCAGATGTGACCGCAACATTACAAAAATTAAACACAATAAAGAAAGAAGATGAGTCACAAGGGGATTACTCCGAGAGTTTCTTCTTCAAGGCAAGGAAATGCATTTTCAAAGACTTCAGACAAAATAAAATCACCTTATGAAAATCTAAAAGATTTCACCTTGAGAGTTTTTCTGAGCGTATAGGTTGATCATAACAACCACATTATCTTTCAATTCTATCCTCCCATATTCCGTAGAAGCTACGATAATCTCACACAATTGCTAGTCAATGTTAATAATATGTTTTATTATCTCAATGTACCTATGAATTATCGAATGAAGTATACCACTTGTTAATATTACCGTCCAACACCTAAGCGATTTTTACACTCGTTCTATTTGATACCTTCAATGAAAAATAATTATAAGAGAATAAAGTAACTTAGAGAAGGATAATCAGTTGTACATATATACCAATTATCCATTATGATCAATTCCATGTCGATGTTGTTGACTTCTACATCTCTCAAAACTTTGAAAGAGACTCGTTCATGGTGTTTTTTCAAAGCAATAAAGCCATTCAACTGTATCTATAATATGTTCTTATAGAAAACTTGTTCATCATCTTGTACGACCATCCCATCAACTTCGGAAATCACATCGTTCTCTTCAAATAGTGAACAACTTGTGAACGTCGGCCATATTATTCTTCATCATAAATTTTCTGCATCATAAGGTTATCTATATGTTGTAAAGAGAGATGCCGAGTGAACAAAACCCTCCCTCGTTTCCTTTCTCAACACTAGCTAAGAAAGTCTCAACAATTGGACATGGAATTACATATCCGTAAAAGTAAAAGTTAAAACCTACATTATGTATCTATGTGTATAAAAAATCATATTAAAGGATATTAAAGTTATAATTAATTAATAATGTAATAATGTAACACTATTTTAAATAGAGATCTTTCAAATATACTTTTGTATATTTATTGAAATTATTCATAAAGAAACAAGAAAATTTAACTAATTAATTCCTACTTTCCCAGTTAATATGATTTTTTTAAATACAGATTATAAGAAAAGTTTATAAATCCACGGCAAATCCTAATCTGGCATATTGAAAAAAAATTAATATTATAAATAAATATAAATTAAAATATCATATATATTGGTAAAAAATAAACACCTAATATATTGGGAGTCCCTACGTTACATGGAAACTCTTTTCGAATTGCGTTTCCCGTTTCCGAAACGTTTCAGAAACAGAAACTCTCGAAACTCGGAAACTACCCATGGAAACACGATTCCTAAAAATTTCTATTTGGAAACTCGATGGAAACTCTCGTTTCCGTTTTGGAAACTTTCGTTTCCGTTTTTAGATTAAAAAAAATATAAAAGATATATATTGTGATTAAAAAAAAAAGATTGTATCTATCTCTAATAAAAAGATATATAATTTCTGTAAATATAAATTATGGTCCTAATCATATGTGGGATGTTGGAGGTGATCAACTTGATTCACTAAATGAGTTTAATCGTGGGAGACTTGAGTCTGAAGATCTTTCTCTAGACGAACCTGATTTAGAGGCTGTTTTATTTGATAAAAATGATAACGGCGATGCTGCTCCAAACATTTGAATTTGAGCGTTTTAGTATTATTTTTTAGAGTTTTGTTTAACTATTTAGTATTTATGTTTTCAAAAATTCTTCTTTTTTTTAATATGGATTTTATATTTGGAATTTTAGTGTATATATATATATAATTATATATACATACGTTTCCAAAACGTTTCCATTCCTTAATTTTCAAAAATTGTCGTTTCCCGTTTCCGAAACGTTTCGTTTCCGCATATGCGTTTCCGTTTCCATGCAACCTATTTGGGACCGAGGAAGTATGAATTTTATGAAAATTTTCGATTTTAGATTTAAACAAAAAAAAAAAATCTAAAAGTTTGTGATTTGTAAACGTTTTGAAATATGTATATATTTATATCTCTGTTATGCTTCTGGAGAGGAAATAAAGCAAAGATAGAAAAAAAAAAAACAAAGAAAACAAAGGTAAAAAACATGTTTCCTTTACACTTCAAATCTCACACTAATAGTCTAATGTCTAACCACTATGTAAATTCAAGTTCATGAACAACCGGACGTGCTATAAAGGTATGAAAATTTCTTATAAACTATGAATGGCTACGTTTATCAAGTTTACAATGTACTCAGAATTAGATTGATATATGAAGAGGTTTCAGTACAAGAATCTCAAGCCGACGCAAGAATGTCTAAGGCAACTTCCTTGAGAGAAGGCATGGATTCTTGCTGATGAACACATATGTATTTGTTCCTTGTTCTCCTCAGGACTTGCCATGGACCTGGATAACATCTACTCGATTCGAAACACAAGCCAGTGAGCTTTCTAGATCATGAAAGACAAGAAGATTAATTCGCCGAAAGAAAGAAAGAGCTTTCTAGCATATACCTGAAAAGGACACCTCCTTTTTGTCCCTTGAAGTTGTGGATGTAGTACACTGTCTCCATCTTCGGAAGAAGGGTCTTGGTCAGTGCAGCCAGTTTCGGGTAAAAGAACTTTGGATAGTCTTTTGTTTTCTTTTATTATGGACAACAAGACTCTCTGATTCAGCTTCCTCTTTTGACTCTTAAGTTGTGATGCAAATGGAAAAATAGAGTCTACTTTGTTTCATTGATAAGAAGAAAAAGGATACAGCCAGATCTTATGCGGTCTAGTTCTCCATTGAAGATGATTAGTTTTCGTTCAGTGTTTACAACAGCTTCCTTGTAGAGCTCTTCCACTACAAGCATCTCTAAAGGCGAAAGAAGAACAAATCAGAACGTGGATAAGGTTAAAACTAAGGATGATAAGAGGCTTTCAGGGAATTACCATTGACATTAAAATATGGGTATGCGACAAGGAACAGTTCGTCTTCTGGCTTCACACGATCCGCCATTTTTACTCTCTCAAAGAAACCAAAGTCCTCAAAAAGAGAGGGTTTTGTTAGATAATCCAACTTAAAGTAAGTTCCTCCAAAGACGGTGTTCTGAGCAAATTTGACTTCGTTTGCTTCCGGGAAGAACTGAAATCATATTACACAAGCTCTTTTGAAAAAAAGATTGTGACAGATGTTCAATCTATCATTATTTGAATACCAACAATAAGTAAAACACATACAATTCTTGTGGTTCGAGCCTTTTCAGGAGCTAATAGCCGGTCACAAAACTCGCGTATCATATTTATACTTCCTGTCATTTCTGTAGCTCCTTCACCATCACCTAAGACAAGTAAAACAGAACAAAAAAAGAACAATAATATCTAATAAGAAAGACAGAAAACGCCTTAACTGAAACATTGTATTAAGATACAATAAAGGATTATAACCTGGCACAGATGCTAAGCCAGATGTTGGGAACTCAATTTCCTGTAAAAGGGTTCCCTTGGATCACGAAAAAAAGAATCGTGTTTCGTAGATCCATTTTAAAACAAACCATTGCATAACTCACCATTAACTGTTTCTCATCCTTCATAGCCAATTCAACTGCTTCTTTGGCCTGTAAGCAAAATACATCATCCATTCACACCTTACCTTTAATGCTCTCATAGGAAACCTGAAATCTATAATGCTCTCTACCACAACACTAATGACTTCAGAAGGGAAACTATACAATGAAGTGAAACATTGAGTCTATAATGACACATAACTCAACATTGTTAGCTGGTTTTAAGACCCATAAAGAGATTAAAAATACACAAACCACAAAGCTTACTTGGCTAATGAGCTCAACGTAATCACGAGGGAAAGGTACATTCTCCACAGATGTGTTATACCCTCCAGAAACAGAACAAACTCTAAACTTGAGATTCCTATTCGTCTTGGTGGCATCATTGTTCTTCCAATGTAGACTACACAAAACATTCTACAAAAACCCAATTCGAAACCCAGTCAACTGATTTAAAAGAACAACATCATGATCAAAATTGTATATTAACACATTTCTCAGTGAAAGTTTCAACAAGAAACATAGAAGCTGATACGTGTTGCTGATTCCAATTCACAATTGCAGGATTATTACATCAAACAACAGATACAACTTCACTGGTTTTTTCACAAACACGAAATTTAGGTGATTATTACAATCTAGAAACCATAGCCAAGCAAATACAGCATTCTAATTAGGTTAAGTAGGATTTATGAGAGTAACATTACATAGCTTATAAATTGAGAATCGGAGAGACGCTAGAAGATGAAGACTGATTCAATCAGTAGTGATTACTGAAGAGTATGAAATTACGAGGTAACTTAACTGATGTACCTTTGAATTAGAGACCAGAGTTCCGGCAAGAGAAGCCGGTGAGACTGTGGTTGCGATGGACAAGGACGGTGACATTAGGACCATACAAATCAAACTGTGGTTTTTTTTTTTTGTTTTTTTTAATGGTTCAGAATTTTGTGGAAGGAAAATCATAGTATATATCCTTATATATTTATTGAAAATAATACAAAGAGAAAATTGAAGAAAATTTTTAAAGTTATAAAGTGAATTATGAGACACATTTTCCAGAGTTGTTTATGTATTTTAATTTTATTACTACCATATTAATAAAAATTTAAAATTTTTAATACTTCTTAAAAAAAATAAAAATCTGTTGTAACGTAAAATTCCTAGAGCGAGAATAAAAATTATTTAAAAAATATTGAATAAAATGAAAAAAAATTATTTTATGGTTGAAAATTGGTAATGCAGCTATTCAATCCGGATTTTGATTAGGTTAAGACTTGGTATTCACAATATAACAAATTTGAAAATTATTATACTCACTTTAAAATGAAATTATATCAGATGCGACTTAAACATGAATCACTAAGAGCATCTCCAACTCATCTCTATATTATCTTTATATTTGCCTCTAAAATAGAGTATAGATGCAAATATGCTCCAACCCACCTCTATTTGTACCTCTAAAATAGAGATTGCTATATTTTTCTCTATATATAGAGGAAAAAAATACAGTTTCTCTATATATAGAGGAAAAAATAGAGTTTTCTATTATAAAGAAGTACATTGGAGTAAAACTTCCCTCTAGTATAGAGTTCTTATATTTTAGAGGCAAAAATAGCAAAATACATTGGAGATAGTCTAATTTTAAACTAATCTAAACTCGACATCCCAAATCATAAATCTAAATCGTAAAATTCTAACTACGAAATTCTAAACTTAAAAACACTAATCATTACACACAAGAATATATGCATATGTAGATAATCAATATATTTACTCTTGCTACAAAAACATAACATCTACATTGCCCCGGATAACCATATTTATCTTGAAATATTTGCAAGTTGTACCTTAGAATGGTCATTTTAACAGCTATAAACTATACATATATAAAAATATGGAGCTTTTAGAAAATAAAGGTCAAAGAAAGTGAAAATGGGTTGGGCTAGATTTGGAGCTTGGAAGAGCAAGACCGGTCCACTGAGAATAAAACTTCAATGTATCTCTATTTATGTACATGTTTGCATTGGATGCTTGTTTGGTATGTGCAAGTGTTCTTCAACACATACAAGAAAAAAAGAAAAGGACTTTTATATGAAAAAGGAGACAAAAACAATAATAATGTTAAATGCACGAAGCAATCACATCGCGTGCAAGCCAGACATATTTATGCCTTCATAAAGGATCTCCTTTTCTTTCATGTTTATTGTCTCTCTTTTTTTTTTGGAAATTGCACTCTATGTACTCCAATAAATGAAAAATTAAGTATTTGACATTCATGTTTTCTAAATTAGTTCTCTCTCATAGTTACTTTAGCTGGACAAAAATACCCCTATATATGGTAATAAATAGTTTAGCGAGATAACGTAATAAATATCAACAGTATAAATGATTCTAACTTCTACAATATAATACAATGATTCAATACGATAATAAATGATAAATCATAATAAATTCAAACTTATCATATAACTTACAATTTTATCGCGATACAATATCATTTATACTGTTAATAAATTATTTAACATATTAAGTTTAACACTAAAAATTATTTAGCATATTAAGTTTATAAAGACGTCGTTAGAGTTTAGATTTTGTAATTAAACGAAATTATATTTTGGTTTGGGTTGACAAAATATTGGTTAGGGTTTAGATTTTTTAATTAAACAAAATTATATTTTGGTTTGGGTTGACAAAAAATTAGCTAGGGTTTAGATTTTGTAATTAAACGAAATTATATTTCGGTTTGGGTTGACAAATAGTGGTTAGGGTTTAGATTTTGTAAATAAACGAAATTTAATTTCGGTTTGGGTTGAAAAAATAGTGGTTTGGGTTAATAAATTTCCGCGATAACAGATTATTAACATGTTTAAAATTTTGGTTTGGGTTTGGGTTTACATGATAACAAATTATTAACATGTAATTAAACGAAAAATAATTTTGGTTTAGGCTGACAAAATAATGGTTAGGGTTTATAGTAATAAGAGGTGAACAAAAAAGTTCACAATAGAGGTGAACCCAAGAATTGCTCTACATAATATTACTTAACATGTTATTGCTATTGTTGACATTCATTATTGTTTTGTATATGGTATAATAAATGAGTTAACATGGTAACTGTAAATTTATCACATAAATCATAAATTATCGCGATACAAAACAATTAAACACGATATAATAATAAACTTATATGTATATATATATATTGTTATCATGGTAAATCAATAGTTATTCATCTAACTAATAACATGATTTTATTTATGTATTTGATTAACAGTATTGTCGATAATTAAATTATTATACCGCTAAATAATTTGTTAGATGCAAAAGGATATTTTTGTCCACTTATACAAATTGATGAGAGAGAACTAATTATACATTTATGGGTACTATATTCTTAATTTTTGAGTCAATTGGGTATAGAAATTTAATTCACCCCTTTTTTTTTTGTCATATTTTTTAAAAATATATATATATTTACTTTTAAGATTTCGTATTGACAAAATATCGTTAAGTTTTAGGATATCCGGATCTTTTTAAATTCTAATCGTAGAACATAACTAGGCAAATCCATTTTATACACGAAAATTTCTAAAAATAGATGTCGAAAAACAGCCAAAATACATTGTGTATATCAAGTTTTAAAATGATTTAAAATAAATATTTTTCTTTCATAATAAAATTTTTAGAAAATCCCAAAACATGAGAAATTTATTTCAATATTAAAAAAATATATACACAAAATCGACTTTTCATGGTTCTAGATATCTTGATTTTAATTTCAAATTTTACCTAAATTAAGATTCTGCATGTAGTGTAGTTTTAAATGAGTTTTAGCTTTTAGTTTTTGGTTTTTTGGGTTTTTAGTTTTTGATTTTTGCTGTAGAATTTAGTTTTTGCAAAATCATGAAAAAAATTAATAATAAAGAGTCACATAATATTTGTTAGAAAACCATAAAAATTAGTTTTTGGATTTCATGAAGGAATTAGTAAAATATGTTTTTCTTTAATGTTAGGGGATCTAGTTTCGGTAAAATCATGATGACTAATACTTTAGTTTTTTTGAATCAAAAACCCAAAACTATTCTAAAATCTGCTCCCATTCAAAAGCCGGAGTACTTAATCTAGATGCATATTCTGCATACTTTGCTGATATGTTTACAAAATTACATTTCACAAGCTGACCTCTGCTTTCCCCTTTTGTTTTCTTTTCAAAATCATTCTTTATCTATTTTACTTTTGAGCAAAATGTCTTGAGAAATTTTTTGCTTACATCCTTGATTCCGAAATTACAATGTAAATTTACGTTTATGAAAAAACTTACACCATTCAGTTCTCAAGCAGTATTAGTATCTAAGCCAAAAAAAAACATCACAAATTCACACATATCTACCTACCACTGGTCCACTCATGTTTTCTTATTGTCTTATGATAAATCATTTTCTTTGGCATTTCCCATCATCTCCGGGAGGAAACAAGAATTTCCCACAATTTCCGTCGTTGATCTATCTTAACAGATTTTATACACTTTATAAAGTTTTTTAACTTATATGAAAAACGTTGAAATGTGACTTTCAACTTTATAATATTAAATGAATAATGCATGAAAATAGTAACTGGTTTTTATAAATTCATGAGAATAGTAACCACAGTTACAAAAAATTCACACTGACTGTTACTACTAAGTTAAAAAAAAGATTTTGGATCTAAGCTCATATATATATACTTTTATATCGACGACCAAAACATTTTTTATATATATTTTTTCCAAATAGCACTTGAAAGAAACAATATTTTTTATATTACGGTTTCTATTTGTTTGTTTACATTTACGTTAGTATCACTCGAAAGAAACAATAATTTTTTTATTTGTGTTTATGTAAGGGATCTAGTTTTGGATCCGGTTAATAAGTGATTTATGCTCAATTTGATGTTTAATAAGATTTAACGAACGTAAAAGGATTCTTGAAAGGGAGTTAGATTATTTTCGAAATTTTCTAACTGATCAAAAGCAAAATCAAACCATTCATCAAAAATATCGAATAACTAAGTTAACTCTTTGAAATTTGTCTAAAAGCTTAATTACATCCCGACATATCTAATATACTCATTATATTTCAATCTTTGTATAAAAACGATCATCCAAATACTAATCGACAATGTAATTTTTCTGTTTCGTTTTAGTCTTTTCTTCTTTTAGTAGTGCGGACTTACCAAAAATAAAATATAAACGAGTGGGCTCATGAAGAACGATTTGACTTGGTAGCTACACTAAAAAAGATATATATTTTTTTTCTTGTTTGTTAAAGATAGATACTAAAAAGACAATGCTTTTGTTTGTATCTAAATTCAAATGTAATAATGGAGGTTGAGAAGACATCATTCTCTTACATAATCATCTCCGCATCCTCAGCTCTTTATATTAATGTGTATATTTACATATTTATTAAGAAATCATCTTTAGACATGTTAACCTTTTTGTTTTGTTTTTTTTCAAAATCTAGATCAGTTTAGTTGAGTCAATGGTGGTGAGAAATGTTATTTACACAAGTAATATAGTACAACTTTTCGCGCCAACTTATGCAAGTTATAAACAAGTTAGAGCAAGTGCATTAGTGAAACTTGCTTTAGTCCCAAAAAAAAAAAAAAACAACCAATCACGGGCCACCACGTGTCAATGGAGTCCGCGAATAGTGGATAACAAGAAACGGGACTATCCCGTTTCCGCGTACGTCCTATCTATTATTTTCATTTTTTATTTTTCTTTTTACCATAAATTCGGTGGGACTTTATGCTAGGTACTCTAATGCACTTACTCTTAGAAATGTTATTTACACAAGTTATAACAATTGCGAAAAAAATAAAACAATTGCATTATCTATTCTTCGACTAGAACTATTTCTTGGTGATCTATATGTTTATAAAGATCTTTTTCTTCTATTTGAAAAGTGGATAATTCTGTATTTCCTTGTTTTTGTTGTAACTCTCAATATTTCATGAAATTTTTTTTTTTGGTGTATTCAGAAATTTTAAAACTAAACGAATTACTACACAAATAAAATATTTTCTGTTTGTTCACTTGTTGAGGAATGTATTCTCTATTATTCACCGTAATTATTCACCACAATTTTCTTTTTATTCAAAATTCTAAACTTAACAAATTATTTAATTATTTATACTATATATGTGATTAGGTTCTGCGTATACGCGTAATTGTAATATAATATTTTAAAATTTGTATAAAAAATTGTATAATAAACTAATATTTATAATTTTTTAAAAATGAATGGAAAAGTCAATCTTTAGAAGTTTCCCATACGTCGGTATGTGATATATATAGATAGATACATGGATTTATTAAGTATGTGAATGTGAAGGAAGTAACGTTTGAACGTGATTATGGCCCTACTTGATTCAAGCAAGTAACACAAATCACACAACCCCAGCTCAGCCTGAGCTAACAAAACTCTAAAAATTTTCTGATCCCAAAATATATATATTTCGTTACTATTTAGATGGGTAAGTGTGTCTATAATAGTAAGGTATTTTCATATATTAAATTAATGAATCTGCCCAACTTTATTTGTGGCCTAATAATGGTAGTTGGATCCTATGCAATGCGTAATCTTTCTTTTCATGATTGGAATTCTATACAGAAACTAAAATCATATGCATATTGAAAAACAAAATATGAGTTTTGTGTTGTTGAGTGGTTGTATTGGTAACGTCATTGTAAAGTAAATTGAATAAGAATTTTGGCGTAGAAGACTAGTTTAAAGTTCAATGAGCTAATCCATCTTTATCGGACTAGCTCACTTTTGCAACTAGTCGGACGATTTAAGGTTGTTGATACTTGATAGTAGGCCAAAAATTCTACGCATGCATCTTCAAAGTTCAATCCAATGCTAATCAAGAATCATCCAAGATTATCAAAAGACGAATTAATGAATCAGAATGATTTACCATCATTTAACTAGAGTTTTATGACTTTTAACTTTGTGTTAAAAAGGTTTAAAATCAAGGAATGATTCATAATTTGTATCCACCCTCTTAACCATTCCCTATCTTTTAGAAAGGTGACACCATGACATAACCACACTCAAATGTAAAAATGAAAAAAGTTGAACTTTAGTATATATGGAAAAAGGCTTCTATTTTCTTTTTACCCTAAGACAAAATACTAAGATTATAAATACACAAATTTGTTCAAAAAAAATTGTATATAAATACAAAAAAAAATGATGACAAAACTCAAAAAGAGACAAAGCAACCCAATAAAAGAAGATTTAGGATTTGTAATTAAAAAAAATTATCCAAAATCAACGCTACTTTTTAATTGTTCCTGCTTTAACTTTATCCACACTCAAATCATTTTACCTTTGGATTCAAGCCTCTCTTCACCCTTTTTCTCTTTTCTTTTTCTCACCACCTTTTTACACAATTTTTTTCTTCTTCTTCTTCTCCACTTCACTCTTCACTAGCCTTCACCAACTTTGTTGTGTAGAATCTTTTTGGTATATGACTTATATCCCAAAGGAAACGGTGGCTAGTGGCTACATTCACGTTTTGACAATGTTGATGATCTTGAAATTTCAAAAGAGGGAATAAAGTAAAGGAGAAAAATATTTGGAGAGACACAAGAAGTGAGTCAAGGGACCCCTCCAACAACAAAGACAAAAGACAAAAGACTTTGGATTTGCCAAATACTATGATTAATGCTCATTTCAACTCTACTGTATTACCATTTCCATCATCATCATCTCTCTCTCTCTCTCTTCTCTCTCTCTCTGGTTTTGGAATCTTGCCTGTGAAAATAACACCACCATCACCAAACTAATCAGTCTTCTTCTTCTTGTTGTTTGCTTGCTTGCTTTCTCTGGTTTCTTGAACTTAATTCTGCTTCATGGACAAGCATCATCATCAGCATCTTTTGTTACAGCATCATCAACATCTCCATCATCACCAGAAACTCTCTCTTGTTAAATCTTCCCGACAAAGCTGTAGTGAATGGTATGTTCTGTCCTCTAGATTAGTTCTGTTACTAAGAGAAACACTTTTAAGTTTCTCTTTAAGCGTCTTTCTATGGCTCAGTCTGAGTCAATGATATGTTCTTTCCTGTAACTTCTCAGGATCTTTCGAGACGTTCCAAGTGATATAACTATAGAAGTAAATGGAGGAAACTTTGCTCTCCATAAGGTATATTCATATTTAGAACACAACCATTGTTTCTTTCATAAGTAAACCATTACTGAACCAATGTTTTGATTCTCCATTTCTTTAGTTCCCTTTAGTTTCTAGAAGTGGAAGAATCAGAAGAATCGTTGCAGAACATAGAGATTCAGATATATCCAAAGTGGAGCTTCTTAATCTTCCAGGAGGAGCAGAGACATTTGAACTAGCAGCCAAATTCTGCTATGGGATCAACTTCGAGATCACTTCATCGAACGTTTCTCAGCTCTTTTGCGTATCTGATTACCTCGAGATGACGGAAGAGTATTCCAAAGACAACTTGGCTTCAAGAACAGAGGAGTATCTTGAGAGCATCGTATGCAAGAATCTTGAGATGTGTGTTCAAGTCTTGAAAAATTCCGAGAATCTTCTCCCTCTTGCAGATGAACTTAATATCATAGGTAGATGCATTGATGCCATTGCCTCTAAGGCTTGTGCAGAGCAGATTGCTTCGAGCTTTTCGCGGTTGGAGTATAGTAGCTCAGGGAGGCTTCATATGAGTAGGCAAGTGAAGAGCAGTGGTGACGGAGGAGATTGGTGGATCGAAGATCTTTCGGTTTTAAGGATTGATTTGTATCAGAGAGTGATGAATGCGATGAAGTGTCGTGGCGTGCGTCCAGAGAGTATAGGAGCTTCTTTGGTGAGTTATGCTGAGAGAGAACTGACAAAGAGATCTGAACATGAACAAACCATTGTTGAGACAATTGTTACGCTTTTGCCTGTCGAAAACCTTGTGGTTCCAATCAGTTTCCTCTTTGGGTTACTGAGAAGAGCAGTGATTCTTGATTCTTCAGTTTCCTGCAGGCTTGATCTAGAGAGAAGGATCGGTTCTCAGCTCGATATGGCGACTCTAGACGATCTTTTGATCCCGTCTTTTCGACACGCAGGAGACACTTTGTTCGATATTGACACAGTTCATAGGATCTTGGTGAATTTTTCACAGCAAGGAGGAGATGATAGTGAGGATGAAGAGTCTGTCTTTGAATGTGATAGTCCACATTCGCCTTCACAAACGGCCATGTTTAAAGTTGCAAAGCTTGTAGACAGTTATCTTGCTGAGATCGCTCCCGATGCTAACCTTGAGCTTTCTAAGTTCTTGCTCATCGCGGAAGCCTTACCGCCTCATGCTCGCACTCTTCATGATGGCTTATACCGCGCAATTGATCTCTATCTTAAGGTAACTTGCTTCAAGAAAATTTCACTTTTCTTGTTTGTATATACTTATGTTAGGTTAATGCTCTCAGGCACATCAAGTGATATCAGATTCAGACAAGAAGAAGCTGTCAAAACTTATCGACTTCCAGAAACTCTCACAAGAGGCCGGAGCACATGCAGCACAAAACGAGCGGCTTCCTCTGCAGTCCATTGTTCAAGTTCTCTATTTTGAGCAATTGAAGCTTCGAAGCTCCTTGTGCTCTTCTTACTCGGATGAAGAGCCAAAGCCTAAACAGCAGCAACAACAGTCATGGAGAATCAATAGCGGAGCTCTCAGCGCAGCAATGTCACCCAAAGACAACTACGCGTCTCTGAGGAGAGAAAACCGGGAACTGAAGCTCGAGTTAGCTAGGTTGAGAATGAGACTCAACGACCTAGAGAAAGAACATATCTGCATGAAGAGAGATATGCAGAGGTCTCATTCACGCAAATTCATGAGCAGTTTCTCAAAGAAAATGGGGAAACTTAGCTTCTTTGGGCATAGTTCTTCAAGAGGATCAAGCTCTCCATCAAAGCAGTCTTACAGAACAGATTCAAAGGTGATGGAGAGAACTTGCGCAAGTACAGATTAGCTCACTTTTTACCATTTCCTCTTACCTGTTGCTGCTTTTTTAAAGTGAGTGCAAAGACAAAACTTTTGAGATTAGTGTGTGAGTGAGTGGTATTTTCAATTATTGAGCCTTGTAAATGGATTTGATATTCATATAAGACAACAAAGGTAGATGACTTATTAAATCAAAGGTCTCTCAGTTGATTGCAAAAGAGAATATAATGAGGTCTTACAAGACAGACAGAGATGGAGAGAACAAAGAGTTTAACCACATCGTACATAAGCAATAGCTTAGGCCACAATTCAAATCTTCAAGAAGATGGAGTCTTGGCCTTGGTGTAATTCCGGATACCAAAAGCCAAGCCTAAGATAAGAAGAGGAACAAGGAACTGAAGCAGCTTGATGACAAAATCAGAGCTCTTACCCTGATTAGGCTCGGCTTTGTTCGAAGAAGGAGGCACAAACTTAGCTTTAACAGGGACAGTAGATGTATCAATATTACCCACATAGTACTCATCTAGCATGGCTTTTGCGGTAGAACTGTGTCCAACATCCTCAAAATCATCGGTGGCATCTTTCCCTGGGAATACCAACAACACATTTTTCGTAAACCTATGAGCAAAACACGAACTAACAAAACAAAGAACGATCTGTAATGTTGTTTACCTGTAGAAGTCAAGATAACCTCATCACCACCAGGATGATCATCCAAGAATTTTGTCACATCATAAACCTATACAACCATCAAAATGAAACACACACAAGAAAAAATGTAAACTTTATCATTATATTCCCTAATTCCACACAATCAAAGACATAAATCAAGTGGGTTTTCAAATTTTCCCATCATCAAAACATGCAAGAACCTCACTGGCTTATCCACATATACAAGATCAAACAGAGACATGAAGTGACTTACTTAAGCAGCACTAACTAGTAAACTATCACATTCGAATAACAATCTCCACAACAAAAAATGTAAACTTTATCATTAGAGTCCCTAATCCCACACTATCAAAGGCATAAATCAAGTGGGTATTCAAAATTTTCCCACACTGGCTTATCTACAGATACAAACAAGATCAAACAGAGATATGAAGTGACTTACTTACTTAAGCAACACTAACTAGTAACTATAAACATTCAAATAGGAATCTACTGAGATCTTTATAGCAATTTCTATGTGATTTATCTCGCAAATTAGTTCAGATCTATTGATCTACACTCAAAATTGGAACATATCGGTCAGATGCAAGATCTCGGATCTCAGACGAACAAAAGATGCAGAATCGGATCAAAAATTTTAAGGAAAACGAGAGATTGGATCGGAATTATGAAGGAGAAGAAGAGAGAGACCTTGCCGTCGATGACGATCCAACAGTCTTTGGAGCTACTGTGCTGAGAAACCTCCGCCAAGGTGAAAACTTTGCCGTCTCCGCCCATTTCTCCGATGATAATGAAGAAGAAGGTTTCTTTCTGGTTGAGAGGTGAGAGATTGAGAAAATTTTATTTTAATTTGGGAATCTGATTTTTGATTTTTGGGATCTTTCACCAACCGCTTTTTTTTGGGTGTAAATTAATTAGGGGGAGTTATTGGGAGAATGATTTTTAAAGATTTTTAGAGTTTAAGATTCCATTGTTATTGGTTTATAGATTCTTAGATTCCTAATAAAATCTCTTGTTATTGGTGTATGTATTTTGTAATTCTATTTAAAATCCTTTGTTATTCAAAAAGTTGAGTATTTATTGATTTTCCAATTCTATCAAATTCTAGTGTTATTGGTTTAATGATTCCTTACATATTTAGTCATTAAAAACAACTTTCAAAATACTGCAATTCTCACAAGTATTTATAGAATCTATCATATGAAGAATCTATTAAACTCTAGAAATCTGGGTAAACATTATTTTAGAATCCACAAAATTTTTTGAGAATCTTAAAATCTCTAAACTTTAGAAATCCATAAACTCTTTTAAAATCATCCTCCCAATAACCCCCCCTTAGTCATCTCATCTTTGGGTCGCCAATAATATCACACATCCATTAATTAATTGAAGATTTCGTAATTTTTATTCTTTTTATTTAACCATTTAATACACGTGAATATTAAAAATATAATGAATAAATAAATAAATTTAGAACGTTGACAAAAAAAAAAAAAAAAAAATTTAGAACAATGATCTCTTCTAACAATGAGTTCAGGAACCAAAATTAAACATCTTTTTAGAGTTCAACGAATTTTTATTAATCATTAAATTTAAATAAAATATCTTTAACGCGCTAAAATTAGAAGCTCTCATTGGAGATGCTCTAACCTCTTTTAGTTTATAACGTTTTGATCGTTATTTTCTGTGAGGTTATTCTCACTGATGGACGGTTTGTTATTTTTTAATATTTTAAAGATTTGTTTACTGAATATACAAATTGTTAAGTGATATTTTTTATATTGCCAAATTCAATATAATCAACGTTCGATTGTTATATAAATTTAGAAAAATAACAAAAACGATTTTCTGAATTTGAAATTCTTAAAAAAGTAGATATAATCGGGAGAATTAATCGCAGTCGTATATTTTGATAAAGGATAGATGAAAGAAAGTTTCTAAAAAAAATCTCGAATTTAGTAATCTTAATTTAATAGGTTAGTGTGCGTTTATCCACGCAAGTTAATACCTAATACCGAAAATGTATCAGTAAAGTTTATGCGTTGTATGTAGCTTATTTGATTCTATTTGATTCTCAAGGCTGATATATTAAGCAAATCACACTCTTCCAACCAAAGATACATCAGCTGAGAGTCATATAGACTACATATGCAGAAACTTTATTGATACATTTTGTTATATTGACATTGGTTTTTACTGAACTACTGATGTAAGAGCCCTGCCAAATAATACTATGGAAGATCAAACTCCCATGACCCTTCTTTGACAAACAGGGCGCTTGATCCATTTTGTGGAAGTTGTCCACATGTTATGTTTGGAGTGACATGTAATGGTAGCAAAAACTTGTAATATGTGATGTTTTTCCAATAAAACACAACCAAACTCAAACCGATTAAACATAACCATATATTTTAATAAACCATTCGGTTAAAGTTTTATTCAATTCGAAGAGATAACCCAATCTACAATTTTTTTTTATGTATTGACTAAACAAATAAAGTAATTAGTAATTTAGTAGTATTGATAATTTAATATTATATATCTTAAATTTACTATTTATTTATTAGATTCGTGAGTTTTCTTAATCGACACAAGTGAACTCTTTAGTTAGGCGTTTTGCTTGAATAATTGAGTTTACTCGTTATGCTTTGACATCTTTTTTTCCTGTTTTTGTAAATTGATTTTTCTTTCAATAAACAAATAAAAAATTTAAGTAACCGAACCGAACCAAACTAATTTCGGTTTTAAACGGTATTTTCAAGGGTCAAATTTCATACTTTTTAATGCATACTTTGGTAGCTCACATTGTGAGGCCTATGTATGGTGAGGCCTATGTATTGTGAGGCCTATGTATGGTGTACAACTAGAGAAGAAAACTATACATACATAACAAACTAAAGACATTGATTTTGAAATATGAAGCCAGAAATCAAAAGAGAGTTAGAGAAAGAAGAAACGAAAAGAGACAAAAGGCTAGCTTTCGTAATCAGTGCTCCTCCTTTTTGGCCTTTTACTCAACCAAAATAGTTAAAATGGTCAAACAAAAACATCGAACAAGCTGAATTCAGATACCCCAAGTGGTGTGCCATTGGGTCGCAGAGCTGATGATGTAAGCGAATCTATGTGTCCCAATACCATTATTTTGTGTATAGTCAAAACAAGCCCGTGATCAAAACAAGAACCCGTGTACAACTAAATGTATGTACGTATATATACAACAATGTTATGTATGTTCACGTTTCACTTTTTTTACTTCGATAGATTAAAGAAAAACAAAGAACAATGATTGGTTTCTTGATAAAGATTTCGCAGTTTTTGCCAATTTCCAATAGTTAAAAAGGTTAAAACAACAGAGATCTTCTCAGTGAACACTGTAATATATGTATATATTTGCTGTCTCATCTTTTTTTCTTTTTGTCAGTGTATGTTACAAACTTTGTTGTAATAATTTGGATTTCAAGAATCATCCAGTCTTTTGCAAATTGCTACAAAACTCACTTCGGGTCCGAATAGTTGTAGCGGTTAAGACGGGCAAATTCGTTTACGGATTAGACCATTTTTTATTTACCATTCAAGTATATTTCGCAATAGTGTGATTAAAAAACAGAAAGAAAACTGTCACTTACCATCTTCGGACCATTTTTACATGAAAATTAAAGTTGGTTTGCAGCGATTTGTTGTCCACCTTAAAAATAGAGCGGATTAAACCGTTGAGTCGCTGACGGATTTGTCCATCCCAACCGCTATCGAACCCTTACTTAGTTGTGCTTTTTTTAGCTTTGAACTTAGCTTACAATTATTCAAATGTTGTATACTTCAAATTATTTGCACACACATTCACGTGCGTCATAATTATGGGAAGAGATGAAAAGGGACCAATCTTGTGTAGTTGAACGAAAAGGATATGATTCAGAATTCAGATTTTTGCACCTACCAAAATTCACACGTGAACCTCCCAATTGGGTCTTAGTTCTTCTGCATCTGAATCATTTTGTTTTCACTATATGCCAAGCTTTAACATGTTCAAATACATCCCTATCAATCATCATTACATATAGTTTTGAATAAACATGAGTGAGAGATAGAGAGATAGAGAAAGAAGAAAACATTTGAATGAAACAGATGAGAAATTTTCACTAAGGCATCTGAGATTAGTAGTACAAATGGTGTGAGGTTTCATGTCCCTAAGCTACTTTCAAACTTGTTCTCTAACCACATTATTACTTAAGATTACACGGTTTTTGATGTTCGGGTTAGTCTGTTAATCTCCATCACATTCTTACTTCACACCATATCTTTTTGGAGCTGATTCCTCTTGAACTTCATGGAATGACTTGTACCCATTCGTATCGTCCGCTGAGGGGGATATCATTCACAATGTCGAAGTTGTACCTGAACATTTTTCGAAAACACATGAGTCACCATTCTCTTAGTAATGAACGCATATAACGAAATTAAAAAAAAAAACAAGCTTACTTCTCAACAAATAGCCTCTGTTGTTGCTGCTCTGCAAATGCAAAGAACTCCTCCAGTTCACTAGTGGTCGGTATCGTGCTATCCCGGTCCTTTGTGTACTCTTTCGTTGCTGTACGCATCGACCTAGTGCTAGACCCTGGTGTAACCATGATCTCATGATCCTCTACAAAGTTACAAGGCGTGCTCTCTCTTGTGCTGCAGAAAAGAGTTAGAATAAGTACCTTCAATAACACTATCACCACAAAACACACACAATCGAAATCAAGACTTGAACCAAAACTAAACACTCAGAAACAAAAAAAAAAAAAGAGGCTTGATTTAAGTAAACAACAAAAGGTAAAAACTTTCTGGTTAATATGGTCCCATAAGATATTGCAAATGCAATAAATAACAAAGAGAAGGCAAAACACCACATTGTCAACTAGCGAGACGGTTGCCCCCAAAAAAAACCAGAGTATCCTACAAAAGTATTCCCCAAGTATGCAAAAACCACTAGGTCCCATGAACACGACACCACAGTACTTGCATAACACTTATGAGGAAAAGTCTCAATTCTCATATGATCTTACATATTAAAAGCTTCTGACCTTTATACAACAACCCACTTTTGCAAAAACCATGTGTTAATAAACCAAGAACCAAATCCCAAAACTGTATTACTTCCAATTCCATTACCCCCATTAACAAAAAGGTTATTGAACTAATGAAATGCACAAAAACAGATTACAATATATAAAGACCATAGCTTTGCAACATTGATAACCTCTGCAATGAGGTACACAACATGGTACAGACCTCAATAACTCTAAAAGTATCTAATCTAACACCAAAAGAGACTCATACGGTGAAGCAGTACATCACATCACAAGAGAGTAACCAAAACCAAACCATTAAGGGTAACATAAAAAACCTATTTTTATTTTTCCTTGTACTAAAGCTAGTTTCATCCCATTGAATTGAAGCAAACAACAAAAGTTTCAGAGAAAGCTTCACATTTGAGCAAGAATCATATGTAAAACTCAAACTAAGATTCTAAAGTAAGAGAGAACACACAAATCAAATTGGTAAGAAGATAAAAATTAGGGCACAGGAGAAAGAAGACGAACGAACCTGTGTCTAGATTCAAAATCAAGGCTATTCTCTCCACAAGAAACTTGGGCACTCACGGAATTATCAAAACATTCATCTCCATTACAGCTCTGAGCTACAGGAACCGAGTCAACCGAGTTAACCGAGTCAACGCGAGACTCTTTGATTCCCGATTTAAGAACCTTCGGCGGCTGTTTCGGCTCAATTAACGAAAAGGGTTTCTCTAGACGGCGGCTACGGAGCTGAAGATAGCAAGAAGAGTCGTCGGGTAGAGCTGAATCAGCGGCGGAGGAGGAGTTAAGCCGCTTCAAGGCTAGGGTTTTAGCGGCTCTGGTTCGAACACCCATAGTAGTAGGCTCGGAAGGCTCCATGACGCCAATTTTGCCGGTAGTTTTGGATTTTTTCATGTATTTCCCCATTTTTGGAGTGGGAAAAGCTTGAAAGCGGAAAGAGAAAATTGGGAGGGAAAAGCTTAGAGGAAGGAGAAGAAGAGGGAAAGTGAGAAAAATGGGAAAAAGCTTTTCGAGTTTTTGTGGGGTTAATAAAAATAAATAAAAGCAAAGGAGAAAAAAGGAAAATAAATAATTGTCAAAAAAATATTATTTTTTAAATAAGCCCCTCAAATTCATCATTATTAGTATAAGTAATTTGGTTTAAGTAATTTGCTAGACGTTTTTATGGTGTTGATTTGTTTTTGGTTTCTGAAATTACACATTCATATCTGAAATTACTCTGCTTTACCAGAAAAATTCATTTAAAGCCTCTTTTACTAATTTTATTAGATAAATAAATCATACTTCTATTGTTTTACTTTATAAGATGTTTTGGTTAACAGTACAACAATTAAAAAATACTCCTTCGTTCTAGAATAGATGATCTTTTGAGAAAATGCACACAAATTAATAAATCAATTAATTTTTGTTTATTTCTAAGAAAAAACATCATTTAATACTAACTTAAACACAATTTAACCAACGAAAAAACAATCTGCAGAATCTAAATTGATAAAAACGATAAAACAATATGTAGTTTTACATAGATTTGGGAGAAAATCGTCTAATTTCGAAGAAGAAAAATGGCCAAAAGATCATGTATTCTCAAACGGAGGGAATAATAAAGATGATATCATTTATTAAAATTCAACCAATATAAAAAAATATTGCAGAATTTAAATATTCATAAACAATTAAAGTAATAGAAATTGTGCATAGAAAACTGAAAAAATCTAATAAAGTAGAACAAATTCAAAATGTTAAAACATCTTATAAAGTGGAACAGAGGGAGTATAACATGTTGAAAAAAAAACATTTGAATTTAACCATACATATTTTTAAATTTATATCAATGTACTACTAGTTAAATATATTCACATATAAGAGAAAAATATTTACATGAACAGGAAATTGTTAGTAGTCACAAAAATTAATATCAAATTACCTATTAGATCATGAAAAGTTTTTTTTTTTGAAATTGACATATATTTTTTCAAAAATTCGAGTCAACTGACTTTTCACCAAAAATTGATCATTATCTTTATTTCTCTCTTCTTTTTTTTAAAAGAAACACTTTTACACAAATAATTTTTTATTTAACAATTTGGACCATCGCATATTTCACACAACTTCATGGTCTCATAAACCGAAAAAAAACAAATTACAAAAATAATTGGTTTAAATTTGGAATATAAAATTTAGCTAATAATTGATCCGAACAAACCGACTACTGAACTGGCCCAAACCGAATTTTAATTCGGGTCTATTTGGTGAGATTTTTGAAAACCGAATTTCTTCTAAACTGAATAATCCGACTCGAATAACCTGCTTAAACCGAACGTCCAGAACTATAAAAATGAGAAAAATGTGAAGGAATTCAAGATTTTTTTTTCTTTTTTGACATCATTACAAAATATATATCTCTCTTTGAGAGGAGTTGGGCTCGAACTCGGATTTGGTGAGAAGACAACAGAGGTGAGAACCACTATCCCATTTGCTCCTTCTCATTCAAGAAAAGTTTCTAATCTGTAACTTTTGAGAAACCGTATTTACTCTTTTTAGTAATAAATCATCTTTTATTTTAATTTTAAATAATTAAAAATTAAGTAATCAATTAGATTGTGAGAGTTGTATGTACTAACCTAAGAACCAGTCCTTAAAACTCTACAATAAGAACCGATCTTATACTATTTGTTAGTTTAAATATTTTTCTTCTTTAGATACTCACCTTGAAACCTCCATTGGAGGTGTCCTAAGATCATGTAAAAGGTTTTAAGAAAGACTCTCAACAATTAAAAATTGAAAATAATTAGAAAGAGTTGAGAGAAATGAGAATTTGTTCTTATTTGAGAACCTTTAAAAATTTTTATGAGAAACCACTTTCACATCTTTACATAATTGGATTTATTTTTCTTAAGATTTATGTAAATAATTAAACTAAATAAGATATACTAGTGAAAGCCCTTTGGCCTAATGGTTGTAGACTAAGGATTCAGTAATGCTTCTACACTAAGAGAGGGTTCGAATCCCAGATAATACAATTTATTAATAATCGTGCAGATCAATGAAGATACGTTTACACGAGATGAAAATGTGCAATTCTAACAGTTCGTCGTGTTTCTAGGTATTAAAGAAGAAGAATGGAGAAGGTGTCCAACATCAACATGGAGAAGAAAACGTTGTCAATCATGAATCTAATAGGGTCGGAACTAAGAAGGAACTGTCTATGATAGAATCATATTTGTAACAAAAAATGATATATTAAAATAATATGTTATACGAAAGAGTTGCTCGTAAATCTAAAGTTGCGGGTTCAAATTCAGGTCTAATTTTCCGGGTCGGTTCTGTTTCGGATTTTCGGTTCCAGATTTTTTGCCCAGGGCTATAATCATCCAAAACCAATTCGTGAAACTAGCACTTGCACCTTGAGAGGTCAAAGCATGTAAATATGTAATCATTAATAAGTTTATAGAACAATTCTTGTTTCTGAGGTGGATACGTTTTTATGTGTTCTGATCAACAAGCAGCAGTGCTTGTTCAAGTATTACATAGCATATTCAGAGTCAATTCATAAGAGCTAATGACTAAAATTAAAGATATGAGGACTTCACTAATTAAGACATGAAAATATATTTTCCAGAGAAAAAGAACATTGGCAATGTTGTTGAAGCAATTGAATAAATGCAAAAACTACAAGTTAAAAATCATATTTCACCAATTTTACCACCTACCAAACCAGGATAATCAAAAGGACACCAAAAATGAGATCGACGCAAAAAAAAAATAGTTACCATCACAATTGTATAAGATTTCACTTCCAACGTAGAGACTGTCTAATGCCGGTGAAGATGAGTCCGACTGATCTACCGATCAAGGTGACGAGAAAGAAGGATATGATGCTACTCACTTTATCCAACACCACTCTGATAATTGGCATTCCGATGTCTGATAACTCCAGAAACAGACTGAAGTAGTATCTCCTGTACACATCAAACACTTTCTTATGTGTAATTGTCATGGAAGTTTCGGTTTTGTGGTCAAGGTTAAAGAAGAAACGTTTACCATCCCGATAGAGCTTTAAGCTCCTTGGTTCGTTTAACTGGCAATGAAAAATCGCTGATTATGGAGTATCGCAAGGTTGATGATGAGGCAGCTTTAGTTTTTCCAAGTGTGAACTTTCTCCACCAACTACGGCTTTCGGTATCGTCACTACCATCAAGGTTGTTGATAACCTGAGTTTTGAGAATGTAGAGGTCAAAGCGATCCTCATACATTGATACAACTGCTTCCATATTCTGATGCAACCACTGGTATAGAGCTACCTATCAACAAGACGAAATGGAAGTTTTGTTCATGAGAGATGAATTGTAAGATGGAACTAAACACAAGTGAAGTTGTTTTTCACCTCGTTACGTAGTTTTTGGAGTGCTCGACTAGAAAGGCTACAGATACCTAATCCTCCACTATTCAATTCATTTGAAAATTTGCTGTCTACAGAAATGAGCTCTAGATAGATGCTAGCAACCCCATCCGCCAATGTTATCATGAAGTCTTCCAAAATGGCAACTCCGTGTGTGCGAAAGAAGCTAAAGTCGTAGCAGAAAGCTTTCACGGGAGATCCAAATCTTTGGAAATACAAAAATTCTGCAAATAGATCCTCCTTGCCTGATTTTCTTATTTTGTCAAATATAGCATCCTTTTCATTTAGCATTCTGATCAGCAAAGGAGTAATCGCCTGCATATCACAGGCTAGATTCTTGAGTTCATATCTAAATCTGCTATTCAAATAATGACTACACGTTATATGATATCGACTTACATTGTCAGAATCAGTGTTTTCCACAGACAGCTCCTTTTTTAGCCAAGCCGTGCATGCTGCTTGATATGCTTCCCGAACAATTTGAGTAAAACTAACCATCCACTCATCTGGACTGATTGTGTCAGAGATCTTATTTGTCTGAAAAGCAAGTACACTAGCTGATCAGCATGTATGAATCACATCAAACTAATGTCTTATATATTACTAAGGGTAGAGAATAACAAATCTTAATACTAGAGAGGGATGAAACAATTAAATGAGTCAGTAAATTCTTGTCACAGGTAATTTAATTCAAAATCTTCTCACCTTAACGATATTTTTTATGGCAGGTTTGGCATTTCAATATTGTGACAAACTGGTATCTGCTATTACAGAACGGACCTTGATGCGACTACTTAACTCAAAATGCACATGTTGACAGTCTATTTCTGTTAATAAGATATGCTCCTGAACTAGAAATTATTGGAACCTCTTAAAAAAAATTATGTGCAAAGTGAAATACTGTAGAAAGCAGGTAGAAGCTCACCTCTTCCTCAAGTTTCTGAAAACATGACCAGAGCAAGTACAGTTGAGGCCCTTCAGATATCGCATACAAACTCAGTGGGGGCTTCCCTTGGGGAGGTTTAGCTTTGAGATCTCTGCTTCCAAGTGTGCTCTTATGCTTAATGGCGTCTAAAGAATCTAAAAGCTTTACTTTCACCACATCCCATACAGACTTTAAATCACCCTCAAAATCAGTCTCCCTACACTCAATGCATAGAAGAAAAGAGAAGCGTAAATACACAACACTTTTCTGTATTAATACCTCGCAGCTAAAATGCAACAGAGATATCAATTCACAGACGACTACTCTTACCTACCAGAAGATTCTGAAGTTCCAACACGTGGATTTTCATCCTCAACAGTGTTCTCTTCAGAAGAGTAACTCGAGTTTTTTTTAACAGGAATCACTCCAGCCATATACGTAAGAAATATACTAGCGGTCAAGAGAACTTGGTCACCAATAGGAACCCAACCTGAACCAGCAACACCATCAAAATCTGCCATAGATGCCAAACAAGTACACTTACAAGAAGACTCTCCACGAGAACAATACAATCCAAGATTCAAGGGAGTCGCAACATTATATTTATCAGCTTCCCATGATGTGATCTTGCAAACCCCAAAAGCCTTCCTACAAATAGAAACCATGATTTAAACACAACATTCCAACATTGTTACTTCTACTAAACCATTTCATATGTTCAAGAACAACAAATAAAAGAGAATGAGATTAAAACCTTTGGGCAATCTTTACACGAGGGTTCGTGGAGAAGCAGCTTCTGTGACTAAAGTGAACATTGTGCATCCGTAGCTGAACGCACAATGATGGAGACACAACAACATGCCCAACCATTGGTTTACCTTACACCTCACGACTAAAACATTGCCTAATCTCAGAAACAGACCTCAATCCCAATCTCTACATTACAAAGAACAAACAAACAAAAAATCAAATTCCAGAACCTAATTGAAAACCAAATGGCTTAGCTACTGAATCAGAGGTTTGAATCCAGTTCTAACGCCAGTGTCAGATAATACAGAAGAAACAATAACAATATTGAGATTCAAGAATCAAAAGGGCGGATTCAGGGATTGAGAAACACACATTGAAGTAGCAAACAAACCTTGAATTAGAAGGAACCAAGTGGAGAGAAGGACGAATTGATGATGAAGAGCAGAGAAGAAGACGAAGAAGAAGAAGACGAAGAAGCGGATTGGGGTTGTGCGTACATGAGAAGTCTCTCTCTCTCTCTCTCGTCGTGAGGCCAACGACAGAGACTAGACGAGAACGATAAAGTGTTAGTGTTTGTTTATAATATTTATATGTTTCTGAAGTGTATAAGCAATTGGGGGTGGTGGCGCAGTTGGCTAGCGCGTAGGTCTCATAGCTATCTGAGTAATCCTGAGGTCGAGAGTTCGAGCCTCTCTCACCCCATGTTTTTGTTTTTTTTTAATTACCTTTTAAATTGTGATTTTCTTTTTGTTTTATGATCTTTTGTAGATGATGAACTCGATTACTCTTGTTTTCTCTTGCTTTTTTTAGGCATTTTTGTAATCTCCTTTTTTAGAACTCGATTCACACTGTCACACTGGTCTGAAACATTCATGTCTTTGGGTGTTTTGAGAACAGCATTTGAGAAACGGACTTAATCAATGCTAAAAAGAGTTGTCAAGTGTGTTCCTTTTGGTTCGGATTTGTCCAATGGGATAAAGATAGTTGTACAAGGAGCTTGTCAAAGTGATTGAAGTATCTCAAATCATTCTTGAGTTGAGTTATTTTGATGCTCGTGGTCCCTTTCAGACAGGTCTCTCTATCATATAGCCATCTTGTGTGAAGTATAATCAATTCAAGAATAACAAATGCTGTGTCTAAAATCAAAACTCAAAACACTTTGGTTTGCTATGAAAAAAAAGGAGATATTGAGAATGTGCAAATGTAGTTTCCCGTAGTTTACTTGTTTCTCATCGTTTTTCTCTGTTTACGAATGTTCTACATGCATTTTCATTACCTTCGAAGTTTGATGCAGATCTAGAGAGAGATATTGATCTCAATGTTGTCTATAAGCCTGACCGTTCCAAACCAAGCAGCAACACAAATCACTACCCCATTCTTTATCTCTTCCACTCCTTCCAGAGTTTCTTGGTCAACAATCTGCATAACATACACAATCACATTCCTCACATCAAAAACTGAATGGTATGAGTACAGACTAATCCAAACAACAACTCAACACGATGAAATGCTTACCTCGACATAATCTACCCGTCCATCAGATCCAACAAGTTGTTGAACAATCATATCCTTAATCTCAGCAACACTGGTCAACCCTTCTGCTACAGAAGCTTTAGCCATTGTCAGTGACCTACTTATAGACAAAGCCTGCCATACCATATCATAACCAAACAACATAAAAGTAAGTCACTTTCTTCATCCTTGTTCAAATGCTACAATCTTTTACTTTACCCTTTGCCTCTCTTCAGGTGACAGATGCACATTTCTCGAACTCATCGCAAGTCCATCTTTCTCTCTAGTTATATCTCCTCCTACAATCTCTATCCCAAAATCAAGATCTCGAACCTACATAACAAAGACAAAAAGCCAAATCAATTTGAAATTAGTAAAGATCTTTCCCAAAACCAAACAAAAACTATGCAAAAACATTCCCAATCCTCACCATTCTTTGTATAATCCGCCATTGTTGATAATCTTTCTTACCAAACATAGCAACATCAGGCTCAACGATATTAAAAAGCTTAGTAACAATAGTAGCAACACCTCTAAAGAACACAGGCCTACTTTTCCCACACAAACCTTTCTCCAATCTCTCAACCCTAATCCAAGTCTCATGCCCTAACCCATCTTCTTCCTCCACACAACTCAAAACCCTCCCACCACCACCACCACCGTTATTAACCTTCTTCCTCTCACCACCGCCGTAGTCATAGAGGTTTCTCGGGTTAAAGACGACGACTTTACCACCGGAAAGTGCCGAGAGTTTAACAAGATCGCCGGAGAAATCAGATGGGTATGTGGAGAGGTCTTCCGTAGGTGAGAATTGGCCTGGATTGACGTAGATTGAGACGACGGTGACATCGGCGAGGGTTAGGGATTGACGAACGAGAGATAAGTGACCTTCGTGGAGGTAACCCATGGTGGGTACTAAGCCAATGGTCTTGCCTTGTGATCTCATGGCTCGAGACCATCTTCTCATTGCTTCTTTGTCTCTGATTACTTCTGGTTCCATTGTTGGAGGAGAATCGAAATCGTCTTCGTCTTTCTCACGAATGTGTGTTTTCTTGTGAACAGAAAATGAAATTTAAATGATCTAACCGAAATAAATAAATTAAAGCAAACCGAACTTAACCGATCGTCGAATAAAAATTCCGGTTTATGTTGGATAAATTTCTCGAACTGAGTTTGTTAGTCCACAAACCAAACCAAAACCAAACCGGGCCGGATTTGAGGAGAACCACCTGAGTCGGCTCCCAAATAGATTTTTGTTTTAGTTTTTCCAGTAATCCATTTCTTAACCATTCAAAATTTTGCCCATTAAAAATATTATTATTACTTAATTTAAAATATATGAAGTAATTCCTTTTCTTAATTTTTTATGATTAAAAAAGACTATACATATTTTGTACAGACAACAATAATAAAGATTTAAAGTAATTCCTATACAATTGTTTTTTTGACATCGGTAACTCCTATACATATAATAGTAAATAATATGAAGTAATTCCTTTCCATTTTGTATTTTTCTAAAGTGCCGTAAGAATTAATTGGGATCTTTTGAATAAAAAATAAAAATCACTAAGATAACCTAGAAAAGGTAGAGCGACTATAACACCCCTCTTCATCGATTTGGATTTCTTTAAAAAAAAATTGAATCTTTTGTTTTTAAACTCTCTATCTACAGTTATTTGAGAGTGCTTTTTCAATATTTATATATGAATCCGATGGACCGATGGTAAATCTGAACATGATAAATATTACGTGTTACCGAACAACAAAAACTATCAATAGGATGTGAATTTATTTTGTTTCATGTTCAAACAGTTAAAGTATATATGAAATAGTACCATATTTATATTTATAAGTAAAAATTTTATTCGAGAAGATAATATGTATATATTATATAATAAAGAATGATACTACAAAATATAATCTTTACTACCAACACATCTAAGTTCCAAAGTTTAGCATGTTTTTTTTTTGTTTTTTTTTTGTTAACAACTTGTGGGTGTCAGATCCCACACTCAAGTGTTTTAGTGGGCAAAGAGAGAATGAATCTCTTGAAAATTTTAAGAAATAGAAATTACTAAAATATGAAATTGCTTTAGAAATGTCTTGTATTGTTAGCCTTGTGATTACTTGTCCCTTTTGGGAATACAAAGCCTTGTGATTTCATATAGGCTTTCAATATGATCAATTCCCATGCAAGGATAATATAGAATCGATCATCATCTTCCATCATCAACATCTTTAATCTACACCTACATTGGATACGTTCATATATAGGTCTGAAATTTCAAGATTCTCCTTAGAAATATGTAGTCATAAGTTTGAAATTAGATCATAAACAATCTTGCAAGGATTTAAGTACTTTTCATATATAGTTCAATCGATAATATGGAGATTTACAAACAAGAGTATGAATACGTTGTATACAAATAGGTTGAGATCAAATCTTCAAAATTCTTGATTATGAAGATTGCAATTGATCTAGAACATTTGATGACAAAGACTAAGATAACAACGAGAAAGTAAGAGTTTGAAAAATCATAAGACAAACAAATAAGGTTAACTTATGTTCTTGTAATAACGTGTGTCGAAAAATATATGAAATAAATATGAAGTCTCAAATTGTTAGTTATCAAAGTTGCAATCTATAAGGATGTCATTGGTGGAGAAATAGATAGTCATACTTATTTCAGAACAATTCTAACTAATTAAAAGGAAGATTTTCGCATTATATATGCCTTCAAAATTTGTTGAAAAATAAACCTCAAATTAACTAAATATCCTTCTTCTTCTTTTGCCTCTTGGCTCACCCTAAAGCCGAGCACTGCAAATTGCAATGAGAGCTTGTGTGGTCCTCTGAAGAAGAGATATTTGAGTGAACCATATATTTTCATTGTTTTGACTCTCTCTTATCTTTTAAATCGGAAACTTGAGAGAAATAGCAAGATTTAAATGACTTATTAGTTCCCATTTTTATTGTTGTATGTACATAGTTACATATGGAGAACAACATAACACATATTTACCAACCCTTCAAAACTATAAAGCAACAAAGCTATATAATACAAACGAACACACAAAATAAATGAACTAGCAAACCAATTGGTTTCTAAAAGACGAGATCTGTTCAAAGATTGGGAGTCTCTTAGATCTAAAACTAGTGGATGTCATATCATCAAGCCCAAGAACAAAGTCATCGTCTAAGATATTTCCCAAGACATCCTCCATCTCAGCATCTCGTCTACGTGGTAGTGAAGCCTCTAGTTCACTCAGAAGCTCATCAGCTCTTTGCCTTGTTCTACAATCATCTGCACCCAAAACCCTAAACTCAAGAACCTCGTCAAGAACAGCTCTTCCCTCGTCAAACCTGCCTTGTTTGATAAGGCACATAGCTAGGTTGCACGATTTGTTAGCGTCTGGCTCTATCATCTTAGCTTTTCTGTATACTGCTTCTGCTGACAAGTACTTAGCTTGTTGCATATATGCCCATCCCAAGTTCCCCTGTTTATAAATCCCAATTAAAATCCATCAGTTCATCGCGAAAAAAGTATATACAACTGAAAGTTAAACGAAGATCGAGCTGGTGAATTTTAGTTACCAGTAATCTTGAGATTTCTTGTTGAACAGTCACTTGAAACTTTTTGCCGTGAGAGCGAGCCGTCTTGGTGGGTTTACCATTGAAAGCCTCTCCTTGATAGATTTGCCTTAGTTTCCTCTTCAATAACTCAACTTGCTCATCCATTCTCCCACATTTCTATTCATTGCAAGAATACCAATATTAGTTTTATAACTCGAGGGAATAGCTAAGAAATCTTCCCTCGCAAAACGAGTGTTTTCTTGTAGAGCTCGAACATTTGAAAGTGTCTTTGAATATTCGTCTAGCCAAAAACTCAATCTATGGTCTTGAATACAAGACTACATATATACAACTTTATGTTAGAGTGCAAGTAGATATAAATGTATGGCTATAGTAGTAGTAAGACCTTGTATAAGTCGATGAGGACGTTGTCGAGAGAATCTTGGGAGTTCTTGGAACAACGAGGACGAAACGATTTGATAGCTTCAATGGCTTCTTCAGAACGGTCAAGTTGTTTCATTACAACAGCCATGTCCTTGAGAGCACTGTCTACTCTGTCTCCAGTATTAATGGCTTTCCAAAACCACACTATTGCCATCTCCGGGTTCTTCTCTATCAACTGTAACCAAACATTAAGCAATAATAAGCCATAATGTTACATTATTTAATCTTGCTTAAACCATTATTAATATATTGGAGCAATTATGAGATGATGTGATTGGCAAAATATAAAATGTATAAGGAGAATATTCTTTTAAGAAGTAAAGACTTTTTTTTTGCACTATTTTGAGGAAAAGTAAACGCAAATTAATAATGTGAGAATCTGGTTCGTCCGGTGTGTAAACGAGTGACTCTCATACGCACAACGCATCATCTTGGCTATAAATTGAAATTTTTTGTGTGTTTGTTTTTTTTCTCTTTTTTTGGTCACTTTTTAATTTTATAAAACAAAAAAAAAAAGCCAGTTACAAAAATTGTCTTTTCATACCTAACTTCCACAGCTAGACTTATTTTTTCTTTTCACAATAGTTATTTGAATCTTTTCTTTTGTCAATATTTCAAGGCAAAAAATATACAATGAAATTCAATAAAAATTATACCAAAATTTACATTAACATAGCTTTCTACTTATATATATATATATATATATTTCTTATATTTCAGAAATAATTTGCATATTAATATCAATTATATTATTAGTTTGCCCAAAAAAAAATTATCAATTATATTATCAAAGACCGTATGACTATATAACATAACAAAATTTACTAAAATGTGGTGCATATAATATAAGTCTTGCATTTTTATCACGCGTGCTTTATATGAAAAACATGATATTTATCTAAAACTGTGCATGATATTTTTACAAAAATACACGCAAAATTTATGCTTTTTAATTAACACAAAAAAAACAAATCATGCTCTTTTTAACACGAGATTAATTTAACCACAATAGTTAACCAAAAAATAAAATTTAACATATAATCATGTATTGCAATTACTTTAAAAATTAGAAAAAAATTAAGGACATAAACTTTTTTTTTTGATAAACACTATCCTGACCCGGTAGAAACACACCGAAGTGTTTCAGAAACTTATGAATAATCAATCTTTTGAAACTTGATTCATGAACCAATCAAAGAAAACTCAAAGAAGAAGAAGAATCAAGAAAGACCTGAGCATGTTTGGCTTTGACATAAGGAGTATCTCCACAAGGAACTTTATGAATCACATGAAACATTTCATCATCTTTCATCACCATCGTATTGTTCTTTGTTGAGTTGTTGTTGTTGTTCTTCGTCTTCTTCAAGCTCCTCTCCATATCTCTTTTGCTTTATCTCTTTCTCTTATGACAGATGTCTGTTGAGAGGCTGTGAGAGACAACAACATGTGAACTCAAATCATATATAATGCGTACGTACGTTTAATATGTTACTGTAAGAAAAATGAATTGGGTCGAGATCTCGTCTTTGTTCCAAATGGAACTGCCACGTCGTTAACTGAAAGACTTCTTACCACGTAGGTGTTAAGGAGAAAAACGTGTTCTTTTACTATTGTCACTGTCTCTTTCTTGCTACTGTTTAGGTTTCTTCTTTAACAACGAAAAAAAAAAGAGAGTTACATTTACATTTCCCAATGTGTTTTTGGGTGTGTTTTATGTGTGTCTTTAAGTTTTTAATCACCAAACAAAGACTATTACTTTGTTTTTATGTTGCATATATTACAAATTTATAAACTGGTTAAACTCAAATGATGATTGAGAAGAGAACACCCATGGTTAAACTATTTATTGGTTGTGTTGACTGTTGAGTTAGCTTTCGTAACCGAAATAATAATTAAAGAAATAAATAATAAAAACGGAAAATGTTTTAAAAATATGAATTTTTAAATTTGGGACGGAGAAATCAAAAACTTTTCAAATGTCATTTGAATCCTTTTTTTTTAATGGAATAGTAAAGAAAAAAATTTGTTAACTCAAAGTAAATTCTCAAACCTATAAAATTGTCCAAAATTAATATCCGGGCGAAGTGCAGCTTACAGATGACCCTCTTTCCGGATATTCAAAATGGGCTGGAAGTAAATGTTCATAACTATGTGGGCACATGTTAATTGATAAACAATTCACATCTAGAAAAAATCGATGTCTGGTGTAGATTAACATGACAACTTTCAACCAGATGGAAACCAGTAACCCACCACCATATGGTTTAAAATAGTAAAGTTTCGTTGATTTGGTCATTTTAAATATATCGTTTAGTTTCCGTTTTATCATATATGAGTAGAGCGCATATGGTACCACAAAATTTTAATTTATGAGTAGTGTCTTTGTTAAACCTTATCACCAAAGAATTTTATGGCGAGAACAACATATAATTTTCTTCTAAGATCTTACCTAAATATTTTGTTATCCCAATTGTTAATTATTTCAATGTTTAATTAATATTTGTAGTTCAATTCTTGTTTAGTTGCATATGACTTAATTAAAAGTTTCTACAATTTATGTAGATGTAAACCATATATGTTTGTATTATCTCTCTATTAGTTTTATGCCTTTTCTTAGGTTAAATCACACCTTTTTATAAAACCACAGAAAGGAATCATTGTTTTCATTTTCTATGGATTATTTTCTATTAATTTGGATTGCTACATATTTGAAAAATGATAAATGGATTAATTCGAAACATAGTTTATAAGAAATTGTCGAGAAATAATATTGTCGGAACATAACCAAGTGTAGTAGTAGTATAGGCAGATTCGATCCAAACTGGTGTTAGGCATCTCATGAATCCTCATTACAAAAACAAATAAAAAGAACATTATCTAATTTTGAGTGATCCAATGGTCATTAGAATCATTGGAATCATATATGTGAATAAAAAAATATCTAAGTGGTTATAACCACATCATCTACACAAGTCATCGTCACTCTCTCACACTCGTTATGTGGCCGTATACAAAATAATGAGACAAAACACAATGAATCTGGACAACACACAAGAAAAAAGCAAAATCATTCATTCACAAGTTTACAAGACTTTGCCGCTTAAACTGAACTGATAATGGATGATACCACCATGGGACCATGAAGCAAGGGGAACACTGTTTTCTGGAAACATATAATAATTTACTTTTTACGGATTTGAGAATTGGTTATAAGTCAATATTGAATGTTGTATATAAATCCGATACTAGGGGGAGACATTACATGTATGAAGACGGTTTATTAGCTATATACAAGATTGATTATTTGGTTGGTTTCTTAGTCTATTCAAGTTTTTTTGGTTGCATAATTTATAGTATAAAGAAACATCCATATACCCAAAAAGAAAAAAAAAAACATTGATTATTTCATTTTGTAGGCCATAGTGAACACAAAAGCGGAACGTTTTTCGTCTCGCACCGCAATAACGAATATATGTTACCATTCAACCCGATTTTTTTCTTAATAGCGTCTTTTGAAAAAAATATTTTTTTTGAGATTTGTGGAATTAACCAACATAAATAGAATTTATCTAACAATCTAATAATATCACAAACCGCACTTATCCCGCAAATTTAATTTTCCTAAATACTGTAATTGAATCGTAATTCGTACAACATATCAAAACCGTTTCTCCCGTACTGTCATATACGTTGATCCCATTAGTTTTATAGCATGGGATGCTTACATATTACGATACAAAAGTATTAATACATTAACTTGTTCGAATCATTTTGTATTACAGTACTTTTGTTTATTTTAGTGAGTTGAACAATGATATTGTCTAAGCCAAGCATTTCGGATCGCTTCAGATTTTTTTGGTAGAAGAGTTTATTATCCTACTCGAATATTTGGAACTTTGTTTGGCTAAGTGTCGAGTTCGGAAAAAAAAAAAGTTAAAATACTATAGACACAATTAGATGTTTCAAAAATAACATAAACAGATTAACTTTTTATCTAATGGATACCAAATTCTATATACTCCACCTGTTTCATTTTAAGTGATATTAAGGTTACTACACACATGTTAAAAAAACATATAATTTCTTTTGGTTTTATAAAAACATCATTAAATTAAAGGAATTCAACCAATCACAAAATAATATGTAAAATATGATTGGTCAAAAAGTATTAAACATATTTAATATTTGCATAGAAATTGAAAACATCACTTAAAATGAAACAAAAATTTTGGGCTAAAACGTAACTTAAATTGAAACAGAGGGAGTAATATTGAACATTGTATATAAGTCCGAAACTAGGGGAGAGATTACATAGATTACATGAATGAAGACGGTTTATTAGCAACATTCAAGGTTGATTTGGTTTGCATGATTTTATATTAAGAAACATTGATATATTCATTCCTTATCTTAATACTATGGTATGGATGCTTACATATTATAATACCACATTATTAAACAAATGTTTGAATCATTTTGTATTACTTGTATTTATTTTAGTTAGTTGAATCATTTGTTTAAGCCAATATCCAAATCCGAATTAATTTTCCAAGTTATATATAAATAAGTATCCTTAATATACTCTAATTTGAGTTGAATTCATCAACACAAAAACAACATTATATGAACCATATGGTCCATATCAACTAAACCATGCATGATTTGCTCCCCTACCTCTTAGAGAGCTGCCCTCACTGGATTTGTATCGTGACAACTCATTGACAAGATCATATAACCAGAACTGTGTTTGCCGACAAACTAAAACAATCACAAACGAGAGAGACTTGATCAATGAATTAGCAATTTCGACTCTAGCTGACCCTAAGTCCCAAATTGATTGAGAACCCATCATCTAATTTTCAATAATTACTTTGAATGTTTTTGTACTTTTTTCGAATATTAGTAACAATTAGATAAAGTTTTGTTTTTTAAAAAGAGTTGAAGTTTAACTTTCTAAGCTTACATAAATTAAAAATGAAGAGTTTATAGTGATCTCTTTTTTTTGGTTGTGTGTGTCACAAATCACTTTTAAAACTTAGTTATTACTTTCCTACCAACTTTTAAAAAATCCATCTTATATTTTCATAGTTGCACTTAAATAATGTGTTATATTTTGTTGGCATCTACTTAATGGTACACATATATTTCATTCTCCATCAATTATCTAGTCTAAAACACATTTTACTTTCTTTTGTTGCAAATCTTAAACCAAAGTAGACACCATGCTTCACTTTTTGAAGTGCACTTTATATTATTCCCATATATATATATATATTTCATTTTCATGGAAAATGTTATTTCTATCTATGATAAAATTTTGGGACCTAACAAAAAAGTACTTGAGTCATTGGCTACAATGCTGGCTAGAGAATGTAGTTATATGATCTTTGGGAAGTAACCAAATTGGGAGCAATTAGTCTCTTTGGGCTCTGACCGTGAATGTTCGTGATACGATTATTTTATATAAGCCCATTTATACATGGACAGCCCAATTGACAGCTCTAATTTAAAAACTTCTAGGAAAAAAACTAAAACACCATTCTCTAAATTTAGCGTTATACTCTTTGAAAAATACATGTTTCAGGTAATAAATGTAATGATGAATTGCAAAGATGTAAGTGAGGTCCTTAAACAATAGCAAGGTCAAGATAGGTTTTCGAGTTTCTCCGATATGCAAATGTGATCATGCAAAATAGAAACCTAACCAATATTATGGGCAATGGTGGAATGAAGAGAAACATGATCTTATACATGTAAGGTCCAAAGGTGAGAGCATCTATATGAATGAAGAAATCAAATATTCAAGATTTTAATCTTCTTACTTATATAAATTTGAGTCTTTGATTGCATAACATTTAGTGTGTTGGAAGGTTTATATATAAACTTCTAAAATTAAAAGTCAATATTGCAAGAATTATATAGTTTGTGGGTTTTCTTGAAAATTCCGTAAAAGCAAAACACTGTACAGGCTTGTTAATTAGCTAAAAATACCCTAAAAATCGAAAAGCTTTGCAGAGAAGAAAAAAAAAAAAAAAATCGAAAAAAACTTTTCACTTGTCGCACTGTTCTCTGCTCATGGCGAACAATCCTTCTCAGCTTCTTCCATCAGGTTCAATGGATTTGTCTTTTCACATCTCTAACTTTTCAATCGCTTCCACTGGATCTGCGATTTTGATTTCAGTTTCTTAATCGATTTGGTGTGTTTGTGCAGAGCTAATCGATAGGTGTGTAGGATCGAAGATATGGGTTATTATGAAAGGAGATAAGGAGCTTGTTGGTATTCTCAAAGGCTTTGATGTTTATGTCAATATGGTTCTTGAAGATGTCACTGAGTAGTAAGTCTCATTTAGGGTTTTTATTTGCTTCTTCTTTGGAATTTGATTTTTTGTTATTTCTGTGTTGTTTAGTGGTTAAACAATAGATTTGATAATGCAGAGCTCAGAACTTAGAACTCAGCCGTTTGGTTTTTGTTTCTCAGTGCTTAGTTGTTTTTGGGTCATTGATTGCTTTGTACTGACCTGAAGACTGACGTTGAATTGCTTTATGAACATTGAGCTGTAGTTTTGATGTGAAGAATTATGGCTTTGGATTTTGTTTCTGAGTACTAAGTTTTTAGGTGATGATAAATTGTGATATGCTGATTTCAAGTTTTGATACTGAAGAATGATGTTGAACTACTTAGTGAAGATTGAGCCATTGTTGTGACTTGTGATATGAAGAACTAGATTTTGGATTTTGTTTCTCAGTACTAAGTTTTTCGGTGATTCATTGCGATATGCTAATTTCAAGTTTCAATACTGACATGAAGAATGACGATGAACTTATTTATGAACACTGAGCCATAGTTGTGATATGAAGAACTGGATTTTGGGATATTTTTTCTCGGTAATAAGTTTTTTCGGTGATTCATTGCTTTATGCTAATTTCAAGTTTCGATACTGACCTTAAGAACGACGTTGAACCGCTTTATTTAACATTGAGCTATAGTTGTGATATAATTAGAACTAGATTTTGGATTTTGTTTCTTAAGAGTAAGTTATTCGGTGATTGATCACGATATGCTGATTTCGAGTTTCGATACTGACCTGTAGAATGACATTCAACGGTGAATCACCGGTGAACTTCCACCAGTTAATTGCTTTGCTGATGAATGACGTTCATTATATTTATAGAGTCTATTTTGGACTGTTTCATATGCAGTTTTGGTGATATCAGTTTTTTCTTGTCATATGTGGATAAGTGATTTATATGCTTTAACCTCCTGCTTTGGAGATAGGATCTCATAGATTCAAGTTTTTGCTGTGCTGTATCAGATTCTCTATTGAAATGTAAGTAGAATGTCACTAATTTAAGCATCATTGTGCAGTGAGATTACAGCTGAAGGAAGACGGGTTACAAAGCTTGATCAGATTCTGCTCAATGGAAATAACATAGCCATTGTAAGTCAATACACCTTTTATCTTAGATTTTCAGAAATTGAAATTGGTTACTCATTTTAACAGTATCCAACTAGCCATACATTGTATAAACTACCTTGTGATTTCTTTTCATCTATCTATATATGATTGATGCAGCTGGTGCCAGGGGGGTCTCCCGAAGATGGAGAATGAGATTTGCAAAAGTTGCTTCGTGTGTTCAGAATTGTGTGAGGAAGGATGTAACTTTACTTTTGGTTTTTAGATTAACTCTTCTTGTTCACAGAAACGTAGTAGTTGATTTTAATAACTCAGAATGAAAAGTTGTCATTGTTCAACAATGTGAAAGAGCTAAATCATCATATTTATTACGCTCCTCATTGCTTCTACTTATTCCAGCTCTTTACGTTGTTCTAATGACCATCCCCATTAGCCACTCTAGCGTTGGACAAGTTATCAACAGAGTCTCCCCTCTCAAAAACAGCTGCAGCTCCCATGCCAGTGCCTGTTACATATGCATTTCATTCGCACCATTAACAAAATTTCAATATAATTATGGAACCTATTCAAACTCTGAATATACCTATGCACATTGAGATTACACCAAATCGGCAATCCTTCCCTCTCCGCTTCATCTCGTGCAACAGCGTTGCAACACACCGAGCTCCTGTACATGGAAACAAACTCTATTAGCCTCTATAAACATGTTGGATATTATCTGTTTAAGGCAAAGCTTGTATTATAAGTAGTAACCTGTAGCACCCAGAGGATGGCCAATAGCAATGGCTCCTCCATTAACATTGACCTTTTCCATATCTAGCTCTAGCTTCTTGCAACTGTACACATATTGAGATGCAAATGCCTGTTTTGAACAGTTTAATCAATAGAGTTTCATAAGAAAGGATAATTCCAAAACAGACAACTAATATGAAACATTCCACTACCTCATTGATCTCAAATAGATCAATATCGCTAACGTTGAGCCCTGCGAGGTTAGTTGCAGCTGGGATGGCGACAGACGGACCAATACCCATTACTGATGGATCCACGCCAGTTACAGCAAAACTCCTGCATTGTTCCGGGATCAGATTTGCTCTGTTTCTTGAACAATCAAAATGTTAACAAAGTCTCTCCATCTTTCTATTTACCTGAATACTCCAAGAATAGGAAGTCCCTTCTTCATTGCAAGACTTCTCTTAATTAACAGTACAGCTCCAGCACCATCACTGATCTGACTAGCATTGCCTACACAAATCACATATATAAATACTCCAAACCATCATCTCGCTAATGTCAATGCAATGTGGAAACCTTATCCTCACCAGCTGTGGTGGAACCATCCTTTTTGAAAACAGTCTTCAGCTTTGCCAAATCTGCCATGTTTGAGTTTGGACGCACACCATCATCAACAGATACAACGATTGCCTTCTCTGCTTTAGTCTCAGGGTCTACAATCTGTTAAAGAACACTATCATTTATCGAAAAATCTCTACCAAAATGGTTTTAAAAGAGGTGAAGTAGCTTCTTGTTTCATACCTTGGTAGCAACAGGAATGATTTCATCCTTGAGTTTACCAGAAGCAATCGCAGCAGCAGCGCGCTTGTGAGACACAACCTGTTGAATTACTGAATCAGTACTGATATGAATTAGAAAAAAATAAAAAAAGTGAAGAGAACACAACTAACTAACTAACTAACCGCAGCCATATCTTGCTCTTCTCTTGTGACACCATATCTTTCTGCAACGTTTTCAGAAGTAACTCCCATTGGAAGCAAACAATCACGCGCTTTCGGGAAATTTTGTGCCTGTTACCATTTAAGAGTTTACAAAAATCTCTTCTTTGTTGAGTAAACTTAAAGAGTCATTGAGATAACGTACTCTCGGATTAGAGGCTTGAAAGCCGCCTCCAGACATATGATCAGTTGACATTGACTCCACTCCAGCACCAATACCTGTGTAGTTCACAACAGAGAAAAATCAATCTAGCTGCTTAGACACTAGAGAACTATGATGAAGCTGAGTCTTACCAATGTCGTAATATCCAGCCTTAATGGAAGCAGCAACATCAGCAACTGCTTGTAGTCCCGAAGAGCATTGTCGGTTAACAGTTCTAATAGGCACGGAGTCTACCTCGTAAAAGAATGGTAAAGCAACACATCAACAAATTTTTTGTCTGTGATATTCAATGTATGAATGTAATATGACTTTAAGTACCAGGGAAACCAGCAAAATAAGCTGCAACTCTACATTCCATTGCTCTTTGAGAGCCGGGAGCTAGAACAGTACCAACAACGATATCACCAACTTCACTTGGATCCAAAGATGTTCTTTCCACAACAGCCTAATTAGAACAAAACATGGAACATGAGAAATCACAGATAGTACTAATCCATGTCTGGAGCAAGGTTGTAATTGATGTACCTTGAGAACAGAAGCTAGAAGATCATCTGGAAGAGTGTCTTTGAAACCTCCACGTTTCGCTTTGCAAATGGCTGTACGATATGCCCTGAAGAAAGAAGTTGTCTCAGAAGATTCAAGAAACAAGAAAATTTTGAATGTAAAGCAACAACTCATTTGACTTACGCTACGATCACAATGTCATCTCCAAAAGCAGCCATTGGAGAAACCTCAGAAGCACAATTCACAGACTACAAAAACATATCATAAGAAAGATTCAAGTGAGAAACACACAAAACAATCTTGTGAATTGTGATCATCCCACAAACAACTTCAAGGTCTAATAAAACTCTATGACTCAAACGATCAAGACAAACTAAAACTTACAGACAGAACAGTTGGTTCATGATTAAGAGAAGAAGAAAAAGAAGAGATTGGATTGAGGTGACGAAGCAAAATCTTTTGTCTTTCAGCAGCCCTGTCCATGATTCTCTCTGTTTTGTGTTGGAACTTCAAATGGGTGATTGAAAGATGAAAACTTTACGAGCAAATTCAACTGGGTTTGGTTGATTTGTCATGAAAGGGAGAGACTTTAAGTATAAGAAGCTTCAGGGTTCTCATTTTCCTCATGTGGTAATAACGTATGATCATTCTCACCACTCACTCAGTTTGGTCCTGATTGGGTCCGTTGCCCACCTTTGTCTTGTTGTATCGTAATCAAAGTTAACGGCGTTACGAAAATATCGCATATTTTTCATGTTTTAAGCCACCACAGAAACACACGGCGTTAAGAGTGTGACCGGGGGAATTGGTCGGCAACTACGACCAAACCGGGTGTCTCCTCTTCATTTCGTCATTTATGATAAAAGAAACAAAATAATGATAATTGCCGATTATAAATTTTTTAGGATTTTAAGAATTATTATCGGAAATATACTTTAACCAAAACGGGTAATATAATGTGGGTAAAATATAAGATATATTTTTTTTCATTGTTTATAATTTAACTTAAAATGTGTAGAATTTAGATTTTGAATGGATGTTGCGGGTAAAGAAAACTATACCATTAACGGATTAGATCATTTTACTTTTACTTGGACAATAAGTGTCGTCAATTAAAACTATTTTGATGTAAACGCGGTTTATAATTGATTCGTGGCGGAATTCTTCTCATTTTCTCGTTCCACATTACTATAAACAATAATTTATAAATGTTAAATTAAAAACAGTCTAAATCTCATATAAACTTTTTTCGTCCAAACCATCGCAACCATTCCAACTTATAGATTTGTATCCGAGTATGCTAATTTGAGTAATTTAATTTGTTGATAATAGTAGATAATGTTTTCAAAATTTATCCAAATGGGTAATTCGGATATTCATATAAATTTACTTGATTCCTTAACCCGTTTAAATAGCTATCAACCTTAGTCAAAATTATTCAGATAAGGTATGAGTAAGTTTGAGTGGCCTAGGTGAGGCCAAGTATCAAGTGAACTATGCATGGTAGAAATAAGATGTTGACTACATTGTTCAGTGTGTGTTCAAGAAACATCGACCATGGAGACTGGAGAGGTTATAAATAGGAAGAAAATTTTAAGTATCCTCTAAAGATTTCGTATAAAGTTAAAATAACATCAAATGCTATTAAGCTTTCTCAAGTCCAATACAAAAAGATCAAGATAACTCCAAGAAATAGTTTTTGCGATTATAAACGGATCTTTCTTTAAGTTAATCTTAATGATTTGTTAAGCATAAGATGGAGAGAGAGGTCAAGAAAGTTACCCGAAGATGTGAATGAGCCGAGCCTATTAAGAGTTCGAATATATAGATTCGATTAGAGTAGACAGTATGCAAATGTCTTGAGATAACAGATTGTTCAAAATTATATATAAACAAAAAAAGAGTGTTGAAGGTTAGATGGGAGTGAAAGAAGTGACGTTGCATTTTTGGGCATTTAACTCTCGTGACATACTCTTTTGCTCCTCCACCACTCTTCGTACCAACCTCCTTTCTTATGTTTCATCGTTTTTGATGCTTACCTAACACTTCCTTTCTTGTTAGATTTCTTGCAAAACTAATTTATTTTATTTTCTTTATTGATTATATATATATACCAATTACAATGAAAAATTTAATCAAAGGTAGAAGGGGTTTTGCAAGAATAATTTCAAGGTCTTAGGCTAAGCGTTCAGATATTCGGTTCGGTTTTGAATAGTACTAGTTTGGTTTTGGATAATCCGGTGAAAGGAATTTAATTCATTAGGGTATTTATAGATATATAAAGAAAATAAAATTTCTTGTTGGAGAACAATTTCTAGTTATATATATTGAAGTGGCATGGCATATTGCTATGATTCTCTTAAACCCTTGTTTTAATTCTCACTGATCACGATCATGTTTCAGGTTTGGATTGATCTTGTGAGTTGATCATATTTCTATGGTTGTGTGATGATTCTCATTAGAGTTTTTTATTGTTTGATCTTGTTGTTATGTGGGCTTGAAGAGGATGAGTTTGAAAGGGCAAAGTGTAAGGCCGGCCAGTGTTTCGTTAGTAGTTTTTAAGTGTAAGGCCAGTGGGTTGTTTCCGGCCTCGTAATAATATGAAACACAAATGAAAGCCATACGGGCCGCAACAAATCCATAAACGTAAAGCTAAATTGGTTAACACTTTGTTTGGTATAGTGAATGAATTAGAAAGTAGTAAGCAGCCAACTAGGAGGAGACAAGTAGCAAGGAGAATGTGGGCGGTGCGGGGCGATCAGTCAGAACCCATATCACAATCTTTATGACTACCCATTTGCTTCTCAACTTGTGGTGCCTTCTGTTTCTATTCTTTTTAATGTACATATGAAAAAAGTATCATAACGACACGTATCATTTGCCTTATCCTTGTTTACATATCAAGATACGTAATGTATGAGACCATTTGGTGTATTTTGATACGTTAAAATGTGTCTCAAAGAAGCTAAGCTATGACAATAAAAGTTCATTAAAAGTCATGGTCAATATTACAACGGAGGAAGTTGAATGGAACTATAGTTACTTATGCCAATAGAGAAGAAGCAAAAACCCAAAAAATGCTAATCTCAAGATGTAGAAAAATTAGTAAAAAGAAGTTCCATTTCCCAAAAATTCAAACGTCTCTTTCTTCTTTCTCACCAATCAATCTCCTTTTCATCAACATGCACCACCTTTTACTCAATTCTCTTCTCTCTCTTTATCTCTGACTCTCTCTTATCTCCACTGTTCCCAAGCCCATACGGGCAAAAGAACCTGCTCCCAAAGTTGGCTCTCTGCAACAGAACAGAACACTTATTAGTAAAACACTAATGAATCCACTCACAGATTCTTCACAGTTTCCAACTCTCCTCAAACACCATCTTAAACTTGACTTCTCCTCTACTTCTCATCTCCACACTTGCCCTTTTAAACTCTTCCTCTCAAGCCCACATCACACACATTCTCTTCATCTCAACGTAATAGATATATCCCATACCCTATAACTTTGTATGTTCATTTCTTGAAAGTTAACCTAATTCTTAGTGACTTTTTCTGTATAGGTAACATATAATGGAAGATCATCACCATCAAGTAGATGAAGAGATCAAGCCAACCCATGAAGCCAACAAGACAGACGAAGACACATCTTCATCAAGAGTATTCCCATGCCTCTTTTGTTCAAGAAAGTTCCATAGCTCCCAAGCCCTAGGAGGTCACCAAAACGCCCACAAGAAGGAGAGAAACGCTGCTAGAAGAGCCAAAAGGGCTTACGATTTCGTCAACAACAATGACTTGCTTCACACGTTACCTGTTTTATTATCCTCTCCCTCTCGTCATCACTTGACCATCTTAGGCTACCCTACTTCCGCCTCCCTTTCCTGTTTCCCACCGGTTCATCCCGACCATCCGATCTTCAGATCCGGTGGTTCTCATGTCATGTTGGCCACATCTCACCAAGGTAGAGATTGTAAAGGAGAGTATTTTGGTCAACGAAGTGTTGACATTTCGGATCATCACTATAATAACGTGGTGAATAGTGAGAAGAGTCAAGATCAGTGTCTTGATCTCTCCCTCCATTTGTGATCTTGAGGTTAATCACCTTTTAGTTATGGCCTTGCAACATTTTTACCACAAAATATTCTGTGACCATCCGTATTCCAAGATACAATGGACGATATATATATATATATATATATATATATATATATTTGATTAAACTATTTAGTAATTCTTCTACGTATTTTCTTGGTTTATCATTCTTAGAATCTAGCAATATTCTTGGTTTATCATTCTTATCTATAGAGTATTAACTAGAGACGACTTTGTTGTTGTGAATTGATAATGATAACATTTTCAAAACGATACCTCATTTCACTACTCGGCCCAAATCATCCGGCCATGAGTTACGAATTGGAAAAATTGTTAGTCCATTTATCAACAAACGTACACTACTTCATATTTTTCTTCAATGTGATATTTTGTTTGATATATATACTTAGACCACCATTATTGGTAGTATCTTAGCCTAAGATCTGGCTAAGATACTACCAATAATGTTGTTTTAGAACTTAGGAGTTTCCGAGGCTTCTTACCTTATTCAAGTTCGAGGATCAAACGAGAATCCAGTTCCATATAAGCAACACCAACACGTCCCTTCCATATTCACTAAAGACCGAAACCAAGGTAAGTTTCAATTCAAGGTGTGAACTACAACAACGTTCTTACAAGAAACTAAAAAAGAAAAGATTAGGTAACTTGGAGTGGCAGTAAATCCAATATAGGCCAAAACCTTACTTGGATATAAGAAATTTGATGCGTGACACAATTATTCATTCAACATCTCGTCATCTGTTATGCTTTCAAGATTTTGGCTAACATGTTCTGGTCTACTACGTATTCACTCTAATATTCTCATTTGAAAAATACAATTTCATTTCTTTTTCTTCTAGGAAAATTCGCCTGATTTACTAAAATATTGTAATTATTTTGTGTTTTTTACAATAAGTATTATAAATATATACGATAAATATCGTCAAATAGCACTAACACAAGTTTTATGCACATATATGCAAATGTTTTTTTTTTTCTCTTAAATCGTGATTTTATCTAATTTTCCCTTTCTTTATATATATATATATATATATATATATATATATATATATATATATTTCTTTTTTACAGTTTCTATTTTCTCTAGTTTTAGACTTTTAGTGTCTTTGCAATCAAGACACATTAAGTATTTTACGAATATTCGAAATCAGAGAGTCTTTAGAAAACACGAAATCGAGAGTTTTGAGGGATTCCACATATCTGCCATTACGCAACCCTACCCAATGTTCCTTCTGTTTTGTGATTTTTTTTTCTTTCTTATTGAGTTATTTCCAACCGAATCTTATAGACATTTCACTAATTCAAACAACAAAAAAGTCATCAAAAAAACACTTTATATATATCAATATTACACAATAAGCTTCCACGAGTAATGTCGTGATCATACTTACATAAACCATGAGGGAAGCCATGGTAAGGTGATCACAAAATACATATATATATATATATATAAATTAATGTGGACATTATAAGACCTACACACTTAATTACACATTTACACTAGCTGTTAAATGTTTTCATCATTTATTTTGTTTGTCTTCTCATTTTTTTTTCTTTACTTCAAATCTAACATTCAGTATATTGCGACCAAATCAAGAATATGGATCGAGAAAGAACACTCACACATGACATGATCCGTTGTTGGCCGAACTTATTAATTTTATGTTATCATGGAATATCTCTGAATATTGTATAATATATATTTCTCTTAATTAATGTTTGATCAGTCTGGAAGCCTAATCACTGTCCATCATGTGAAAATTGATGATACAGCTGAAATATTGTGTGTTTGTGTTTACTTCTGGAAATTGTATATTATTCAGATTTTCTAATTAATTTTCTATTTTTGTATATATTGTAGTTACTAGTGTCTTAGTGATATGAAAATTATTCGAATGGATTATGAAAAGACAGTATCAGAGAAACAAAAACTTCTGGACTTAGGTTAACGACACTGACAAGCAAAAGTAATGTTCATAAACTGATTTCCATTAAATTTGTTAAGGATTGTGATAGTCTCTATAATAATACATTTCATTGATTCTACTAATTATTTTCATACGATTCTCCATATATATGTAAAAACTAGCAAATCTTGTTTTTTTTAAAAAAAAAAACCCAAAAAAAAAAAAACTACTAGCAAATATATACAAAATATGATTGTGAACTATATAATATACAGTAGTAGCAAATCTTTTTTCTTCGGTAATCTAAATTTTGTTTTTTTCGTATAATTCTATTTTTTTAATGAACATAGTTTACAAATAATATTTCAGCTGTAGAGATGATAACTTTTTTCCTTAAATCACTTAAAAAACTTTTTTCTCTTTATATCGTTTTAACTTTTTCTTTCTTGGCATGTTATTATATATAAGCACAGTAGTACAACAAAAACAGTATATATATATATAAGCCAAAACCTTAACGTTTTCGTTAAACAACGATGGTGATTGGTTTAGGTCTTCAAGGTAATTAGAGACGTAACTTTCGTATTGGTTTAGTTTTAGTTTATATGAATCTGCCACATTAATCTAATCACCGGCGTGTTTTCCGGACATTCGACGCCGACGAGTTGATTAATTAATATTACATTTATTCGAACATACGACGTGGACACTTTTTATGAGAAGAACGTGTCGGAATGACCCAGCCGTCCGGGCACGTGACTCATCTGACCCACCACACGTGATTGAGAGAGAGATATAGAAGTTATTAAGTGTTGTGGTAAGAATTTAAAGTATAAAAAAGTGATGTTTGTTTTTGTTGTTCTTTGGGGTATTAACAAATTTTTTGGATAAGGCTAACTATCAAAAATCTCTTACTTAATGTGATTTAAAGTATGTATTGTTAGAAAATGGATGTTAAAAGTGAGAGATGTCATAAACGATAGCTTCACTTGCCTATGTTCTAGACCGGCTAATAGCTCATGTTATTACGTATTGAGCTTGGACTAGCTTCAACAGGATTCATATCAAAACCTTTTATTCTTCTTCTTGTAGTTTAGTTCTATGAGTAGGTGTTTAGGTTGCTTTACTTACATGCACATCAAAAAAAAATTAGTGGAAAAATAGATACAAATTGTCATCAGATTATCTAAATATTTTGTGGTGATATTCATTTGTTTTCTAAAAAGTGTTCACTCAACACTTAATCTAATTAAACTAGCAGGATTGCGGTTCGTCGAATATCCATTTGTGTATAAAACCGTCCCTTTAAGAAAACAATCAATTTGGTATGAATATTTATGAGGAAAATTATCTCTCGTAAATATGCGATGAAATTGCGAGACATTTGTTATAGTCACATTCTTAGCAAATTTCTCGCAAATTTATTATAGTAACATTCTTGTTAAGTGATAATTTTTTATTTTTTGTTGGATAAAGTAAGTAAAATTTTGTTAAATGCAGCGAATTATATTACTAAAACAAAAATCACATTGTAGGCCTAATTTATAACGAATTATGTAATTTGTTATTCTAAAAGATATTAACTGAGTAATAGTAGGACTAGTTACAATAATTCACTCATTCCAAATTTTCTCTAAACATAAACAGTGAGCAAGCTAAAGAACTGATCATATCGAAACTAGTTTTTGTGGCTTGTCAATGGCAAGAACCATTTTTATATACTAATTAAGATTCATCAATGAACGATTAACTGAACGGTGATAAATGATTGAAAAAACAGAGATAATATTATGCATTTGATAAACATACTTTGTTATCATATCATCAAATCAGCTTCCTACTATTGTGAACGTTATTATTTTAGGTGTGTAGTTTTTATTGGTAAACTCATCAATTTAGTATCTTGAATGGAACTGAATTAAGGATTCTATAATTTAAAGACTATCCAATCAAAAACATGTATCTAAAATTGTGGACCTTGAGTTACGATAAAGCTTAATGCAATTAAGAAAAGTAGTTGATCATTAGTATGAAAGAACAAAATTTACAATGAAATAACAGTGGTCGACGGCATCAAAACCAGTGAAATTTCAAAAGATTCATATTTGATAGACACAAATATTGAGTATTATTATTGTTTAAATCAGTTAACAATAAAAATAGATAATTGTCATGAAAACTTAAAACAGTTAAAAATGGGGTTAGCTCTAATTGGCTAATGAGTTTAATTGGGAAATGTCCACTTTAAACGATGATATATTATTGGGGGCCTAAATCATCAGCTTTGGCATTTTATATTCTGAGGTGGATCTCTATATGTGTATGTTATTACATGGGACAATGTATTTTTATAATAGGTAGATTAACTCACCAAATTATAAGTTAGGATATATGAATGATTTAAAATTAGAAAAGACATATCAACATTATATACATTGATTTTTATTTTTTTATCTCGAATGATCTATCTAATAAAAAGAATTGTAGTTTTTAAGATGTATGATGAATTTATAGTTTTATTTCGCGAATATTAGTTCTTTTTTTACCGGCTCAAATTATTTATTTTTTCCAACATATAAACTCCACTGGTGAGATTTTATATAATCATACAAAGCCACTAAAACTATTTCTCTTGTAGGATTGTCACAATAAAATTAACCATTTTCATAATTACTGTTATGTGACACATATTAATTCTCATTAGTCATTACCATCAATTCTCACTAGCATTTCGGCTTTTATTGGAAAAAAGGAAAACAAAACAAATAAGTACAATTAATCTTATATTTGCCTCATATTTGTATAATTTTGTCTCTTGTCGTATCACCTACATTTTCAGCATTGGATGTTATAAATGCCCCCCAAAAAATAATAATAATAATAATGGTAAATAAACATGTCAACATTGGCCCATTTCGAACTATGTTCATGACATGATTTGATCAAAAAGAAATAATAAAGAAGAAATTGTATAATCTAATTCTAAATAGTTTAATTAAACCAAGTATGTCACAAGTCACAACCCAATTTTTTCTTCTCTTATATATTGACTCCTTCCCCTAAAGCCTCTCTTTAACTCTCTTCTTCTTTCTTCTTCTTCTTCTTCTTCTTCTTACACAACAGACCGACACAAGCCTCT